GGGGAGGACGGAGAGGGCTGAGGCATGGTGAGGATGTGTATAACTTGCTACTGCTCTATAAGCTGGTCGTGTAATATTTGTTGACTGGCGGAATGACTTTAGACATTTGCGTGGTCCGAGTCGTGAGCCCCAGCTCCGAAGGACGAGCGGGGACGGGGCACGCATTGCGGGGAAGGTGGAGTGTAACTGGTTCTGAGAAGAGGATCGTAGAATTCAGCTCAAGTCAAAACGGAGAGGGATTTATAGGTATATTATGAGTTTCCTGGAGTATTTAAACTTATAACAGAGAGCGGCAGAAGAGAAGCGAGGCACAAAGCTGGGGTTTCCCCAAATGCGGAGGTGCGACGATTGCCGCTTATACCCGAGGGCCATCATCATTCCCATGAGAAGACTAAAAAAGACCAAAGGATGTTATACAATTGATGGAGCAGAGAGAGTATAGAGTAGACAATCAATTAGCTTGTAGATAAACCATAATATCGGCCGGAAATCCCAAAACGTCAAGACTTGTATGTTCCAAGGTGGGAAACTCGTGCAATACAAAGAGTGTAACGAGTCCTTGATTGCGCGCCGAGGACTACCGCACCCGCACACATATTTAAAAGGTCCACCTCCCCATAGACAATTCCCCCGGACTACTTTGAATTTTACATTCTGTCATATAACCATGGCCTCCCTAACCCTCCCTTCTCTCCTTCGCACATCAACGCGCGCGGTGCGGCTAAACCGCATCCCCGCACTCACCCCATGTTTCCGCTCCATCTCAACAAAACACCCCACGGGCTTTGCACCTCCGTCCGAGGATGATCTTCTGGAGCTGCGAGAACGTGTGCAAGATTTTACAAGTACGTTACCCATGGTCTTGCTCAGGTCGCATTTCTAACCGCTGTAGGGCGAGAGATTCCAGCCGATGTTGCTGCGCGGACAGATGAACAGAATGAGTTCCCAGCGGAAATGTGGAAGAAGATGGGTGATGCTGGGTATGGGTTCCCTCGAGTGGGCGGCTCTCTTCTCCAAGAAGGGAGTGTGTTATACAGCGCATACTAACACATATGAAGGTTCCTCGGTGTCACAGCCAACGAGGAGTACGGTGGCTTGGGTATGGGCTACCAGGCACATTGCGTGGTGATGGAAGAGATTAGCCGAGCATCCGGTAAGTCTTCCAGTATATGCTATTTGAGAATCGATCTGACCTCGGCTCTGGATAAAAGGAAGCATCGGTCTTTCTTACGCCGCCCACTCCCAACTCTGCGTGAACCAACTCTCCCTCAATGGCTCCACGGAACAAAAAGAGCGTATTCTTCCCGGTCTCCTATCAGGCGAGAAAGTCGGTGCTCTTGCGATGTCGGAGCATTCAGCTGGCTCCGATGTGGTCAGCATGAAGACCACGGCGAAGGAGGTTGATGGAGGCTGGCTCTTGAACGGAACCAAGATGTGGATTACCAACGTAAGTCATTTTTGATGGTATAGATGGAATTGGAAGGTCCGACCTCATTGCTCACACTTTCCTGCAGGGCCCTGATGCCGATTATATTGTCGTCTATGCCAAGACAGAGCCTGAACTAGGGTCCAAAGGTATCACAGCGTTCATAGTCGAGAAGAACTTCAAGGGTTTCTCATGCGCGCGTAAGCTAGACAAGCTGGGTATGCGTGGTTCTAACACAGGCGAGCTTATCTTTGAGGATGTTTTTGTTCCACGGGAGAACCTCCTGGGTGAGCTGAACCGCGGTGTCCGCGTCTTGATGGAGGGTCTGGACTTGGAGCGACTCGTCCTGAGTGCAGGACCACTAGGGTGAGCCATCCCATACCACAGAGTACCTCTCACATTCTAACACTCTGCAGAATCATGCAAGCCGCACTTGACCTTGTCCTTCCTTACACACACGTGCGCAAGCAATTCGGTACACCGATCGCCCACAACCAGCTGATCCAGGGTAAGCTTGCAGACATGTACACTAAGCTGGCTGCCTCGCGTGCGTACACCTATGCCACGGCACGGCAGGTAGACAATGCCGCCATGGAACCTGGCGAGATGACCGTCCGCACTCAGGACTGCGCTGGTGCAATCCTCTACGCCGCTGAACGCGCGACTGAATGCACGCTTGATGCCATTCAGCTCATGGGAGGCAGCGGGTATATCAACGAGATCCCTGCTGGGCGTCTTCTCAGGGACGCGAAGCTGTATGAGATTGGTGCCGGTACAAGCGAGATCCGTAGGATGGTCATTGGCCGCGCATTCAACAAGGAGTATGCTTAGGCAAGAGAATTATACACAAAATTACTTTTATTAGGTACGATGCTATCTCCTTGGAGAGTATATGCAAATTCATTTTAGTCGTTGTACATGTCATAAATAGCCCTATATCCAACATTACCAACACAACCGTCCTACTTCTTCTGCCTAGCAGACCTACGCACGGGCGGTGCCGCACCACGCTTTGTGGCCTTCTCATCGCCGCCTTTACGCAACGCAACCCTCTTTGGACGAGGCGAGGCCGTGTCCTCGTCGGTGTCATCCTTCTGTACAACGGCCTTCCGCTTCTGCCCTCTCTTTAACGGAATCACGACCTTCGGCGGGGAAGACAGCTTCATCGAGCGGAACGAGTCTGGATCCGGGTCCGGAGTTGTATTCGAAGCATCCCCAGTATCAACGGCCGAATTATCCGACGAGATAACATCAGACATCTCGTCCTCACTATCGGGCTCGTCCGTGCCGTCACCAGCGAGCATTTCATCGTCAGCCAGCGACAGATCGACAGGCTTGGATTCGACCACGTTTCGCTTTTTCAGACGTGACCTATCCAGCACCGGCTGGGCAGATTTGAAGACCTCCCGCCAGTTCTCTAGAAGCGCGACTTTCTCGCCCGTATCCGGCTCGTACAAAATGGCAACGTCCTGGTCCCGGTCTAGCGCAGGCGTTTTCCACACCACGCCCTGGAAAGAGGTGATATCCGGCACTAGGGGAGATTTCGTCGGTGGGACTCTGGCGATGGGGCTCTTCAGACGGGCAGATGCCTTCGTTCGTCGTGGTGCTGTCGCTGCGACCTCGGTTCTTTTCTTTCTCTCTGCGCTTTGTTCGACGGTTGCGTCATCGTCGTGGTAATCGTCTGAATAATAGTCCCAGTCGCTGAAATAGTCTTCGACATCAATGCCAGGGTCTTCATATAGGGCGGCTTCGTAGTGTGAGGAAGCGGCGAGATCGTCCTGGACAAGCAAAGTTTTGGTTAGGGTCTGAATTGGTCTTGTTTTCTTGTGTAGAACTGATGGCACTGGTTGATCTGGGCATCGCCTTAAAAATTTGACTTACGACCATATCTGGGCCTAAATCCTCGTACATGTAATCATCCTCGAATTCATAGTACTCATCGTCGTCGGACATCGTGGAGTGGATACCGAAAAAAAAAAGTTGAAAGAGGATCGAGTGGCGAGGGTTTCGGGGTGTTTGTTAAATGAATGACAAGACTTGAACGAAAGTAAATCAAGTAAAAATATGTATCGCACGAGCAAAACGAGGATGCACAGCTAACGTGACGAAGGAAGATCGAACTGATCGTGCATTGAAGAAGATGGCAGTCCTGCTAACATAAGCCTTGGCGTTTCTCCACTTTGGAGATCTACATCGCATTTACCCTATGGCTCTATGGGCTCATCTTTGTTGTGTTCCGTCTTCGAGAGTCTTGGCCACGGAGAAGACGAAAGAAAATGGGGTTGCCAATGAGCATCGGGGTATACCTAGGGACTCTGCTATGGAAGAAAGCAGAGCATATTGAGGCCTGATAAACAAGGCATCAGTGCAGCTTTTCCTAACTTCGATAAAGACAGGGATTTTATGATTCTCTTTATGTTTCTGTTTCATGCTAAGCATGTTTTTTTTTCCTGTTTTCTTTAGGTTTTCTCTACATGGAATGGCTGCCAGCTCTCGTGGTCTCCATACACTTTGACTTCGCCTTCCGTTCTTTATATAGCAGCGGTCAACGATTATATCGAAGATGCGCGCAATATTCAAAATTCGGACACCAAATAACTTCGACCATTTTCTAATTACAGTATTACAAGTGTTCAGGTAATAGTCTTTAAATGTACTAGTCTTCCAAGCGAGTTTGAAGTACTATGCCTTTTGCCGTATACACTTTATCCGGACCGGACATCTAAACTATACAGCCCATTCATCTCATAGAACATACGTGGATTACTTGAATAGATGTCGGACGCTATCGAGGCTACGTCATACGAAGTTATATATACTAGTCCTCTTCCCCTTCTCTTTCCTTTTTTTCTTTCCTTCTACAACCATCCCACACAATGTACCTCCGCGGGCCCCCCATCGTTCGTCCCAACTGGGACTCCCACCTGCTGAAGAGGATTCAATTTGATAAACCAACCAAAGTCTTTTGGAAGAAACTACCTGTATGCTTCGAATTTTGAAATTTGTAAATTTCATCACCTCAGTGCTTGGGTAGAGGCTAGGGCCCTAGCCTTTATTCACAGTACTGAGCATCCGCGATTCCTGTATCTGGGTTTGATGTCCTCAGTGAAGCAATTTGCTGGGGGCTTATAAGCTTGATTCACACCCTCTCTCATCTTCGCCGGTGTTTAGAGAGTGACCCAGGGCCCGGGTATCTCTTCGAACACCGAGCATTCGTATTCTTAATACCCGGTTTGACGTACTAGGTGGAGACTGCGGCGCCTGTGGTCTTCATTCGGAACTGATAATTCGGGCTCTAAAACCCACCTTGTGACTGATACCTGTTTCGATACTCCGATGTGTGAAAGACATACCTCCAGCTGGAGTTGGCATCGTGTGGGACCGGTTCAATCAACATCTGTCGATGTCTCTCTCAGCCCCATCCAGACCCGCAGTTTTTCCCACTGGGTTTCCTGCCGGCTGGACGTTCAACTATGTTGAGCATTTCTTGGTGAACCACTTCAAGTCACCCGGGAGCCTTTCCCACGTGGTTTTCTCCCGGTTCGGCATTCACCATGATGTCCTTGGTACCAACATGGTACGATGCACCACTCGAGGCACTCTTTCCGGCCGGGAAGCTTTCCCCACGCGGGTTTTTCTCCTGGTCGGTTTTAATGAGGCCTCAATTTCACGACAACTCAAGACAATCTCTTGGAAACATGGACGGCTCAACACTGCCGTCTGGGAATGGAAAGAATCTGTTGGAGGAATCGAATCCGTCGAACATGAAGAAGAAAAGGGCATGGCAACCCGTGCCACCCGATGAGTCCTGAAGAAACAAGGGGACTCAACTGCCCACCGAACGCCCCGAAAAGGAAAATATGAAATAATGCAGGCACGGCAACCCATACCACCTATAAGTCCTGAAGAGACAAGAGGACACAACTGCACATTCAACCGAATCTGAAGAAAAAGCAGACATGGTAGCACATGCCATCTGTTGAGTCCTTACATGCCCGTCGAGCCGATCCTGAAGAAGAAAATGGGCGTGTGCTGCCATGCCATCCGATGTGTCCTCTTGTTTCTTCGGTACTCAACTGCCTATTAAACAGACCCTGAAGAAAACAGGTATGGGTTGCCGTGCCACCACTATCCATCGAACGAACCCGAAGAAGAAAACAGGCATGGCAGCCCGCGCCATCCATTAAGTCCTAGAGAGAACTTACCTGCCCATCGAACCGACCTGAAGAAGAAAATGGGCATGGGCCGCCATGCAAGAAACACAATTACTGAACTGCCCCAGCCCCGAAAAAACAACGAAAATCATCCAAAAAATAACCAATATCAATATCCAACAACACCAAAACAACAAAAAAAAACAACACCAATGTCGGTATCGCCAGCATGAATATCCAAAAGCAACAAAAACAAAAGCAACAACAACAACAACAACAACAACAACAACAACAACGCCAATACCAGATTGATGATCTCGGTGGATGGAGTGATGACCACCACCGACCCCCAAAGACATAAAAACAACAAAGACACCAAAAACAACACCAATGCTAGATTGATGGTCAAGGTGGATGGAGTGATGACCATCCATCGACCCCCAAAAACACCCAAAAACAGCAAAAACAACACCAATGCCAGATTTATGGTCAAGGTGGATGGAGTGATGACCATCCACCGACCCCCAAAAACACCTAAAAACAACAAAACACCAAAAACAACAAAAACAACACCAATGCCAGATTTATGGTCAAGGTGGATGGAGTGATGACCATCCACCGACCCCCAAAATACCAAAAACAACACCAATGCCAGATTTATGGTCAAGGTGGATGGAGTGATGACCATCCACCGACCCCCAAAATACCAAAAACAACAAAACAACAAAACAATGGACAAAATTCAGGGCAAAACAAGGGAAATTGGAGGAAATTGGATCCAATCTATGTACGAGGTACTCTTTCCAGCTGGCAGTATTTATCCCACAGGGTTTTCTTCGAGCTGGTTTTAACGAGGCCTCGAATTTATGTCGAAGATGGATATTGAGCTCTCTACTTTTTGTATGGAATGATGGCAACCGGGCTTCAATGTATAGAAGGTGTGGTTGGACAGTCCGGGAGAGGGCATGGCACCTCTCTTTCGGTCGGTCCGGTGAAAGGAGTATTATATAGTTGTTGCTGGATGGTTCGAGGGAGGGCATGGCACCTCTCTTTCGGATTGTCCGGTGACTCAACACAATAAAATCCAAATTATGATTATCACTTGGATTCTTTATGTATTGTAGAATGTATATCGTCTTGTACTATAGTAGAAAGACAATCATCGTACAGCTAGTTCCTGTTTGGCGTTGGATGGGGGATGTGTCTTGGTTGGGAATATATTTGCGCAACTTGAAAGCTAGCCGCCGGCATAAACTTCAGATCTCATGGTGGTAGTTGACTCAATTCCTTCCGATCAAATGTTACAGTAAAGTTCCCAAATACCCGAGTATCCCAACCAATCCAAAAACGCCTCATTGAGTCCTTGTCGTAGAAGTTCATCCCCCATATAGTACTTCGTTGTCTTCTCCCGCACAGCGGTTCCAAGAGCACTCTGAAGAGGTTTCCCTAACCGAATTGTTTCAACGGATTTCAGGAGGTCCATCCAATAGATGCTCTCCGGCTGCCAACATCGTTCCTCATCTGCAGCTGATGCAAGCCTCTCGAATCCTGGCAGTGATTTAACAGTCTCCCAGATTCTAGGTGCATCATAGTATGACGGCCTGCCATACTTCCTCAGAATTTGCTGAGTATACTCGGGGTGAACCATCTGTCGAGAGGTTCGTTGGAGATAATCAATCTGCTGATGGATAAGATTTTGTATATCCTTTCTCTCTTGGACGGGATCTTCTTTCTCCATCTTGTCGAGATAATAGGTAAGCTCATCTCTCAATTTTCGCAGGCGGTATTGCGTCCATTCCGGATATAGAGAACTTGTATCCGCATAAGGGCGGACGTTGGTGATATAGCTGGAGTCATAAACATTCGGCATCGTAGAACGGTATGAAGTAATGGTCGATATCCGCTCCTTCACGCCTTTCGCCCGGGCAGCCAGATGGCAGACTTCGCCGCCCTGGAGCATGACAGCATGGCCAAGTTGGGGGCCCTCAACCTTCACAGTGTTTGGTTAGTAAGGATGTTCCAGTCTCAACAAGATGAATTCCTACGCACCTTCTGTACCTCGCCATCTCCCTTCTTGATATATGTCTCACCTCCGATCATACCCTCAGTATCACTCAACATCAATACACAAACGTAAGGATACGAGTCATAGCTTTGATCCAATTAGACTTGTTACTGTTACAAGCAAGGTGGCTAGGAAATGAACTTACTGCCAAGGAATGATAGCACTAGCATCTTTCAAAGGGTCGTAAGCTCGGTCTTCGGCACTCAACTCGAGCTTTTCTACCGCCGGCTCAGGTTTAAGATTGCTGGCCATCTCTGCGATTGTAGTGCCTTCAACTTGAATGTTAGTGTGCCCTATTTCCGTTGGCATCACCACCTCCAGAGGTACACCGACTGCTTCAGACACAATTCTCATTGTCTCCGGGTGCGTCCAAAAGTCATTGACAAACTTTGACTGTTTCGCTGCATCACGGAGGACCAAAGTCCCTGGGAATGGTGAGCTGGCACATTTGTCTATAACATCCTTTTGGAATAGGGCCCTTCTGTAGACTTTGACACCTTCGGTTGACAATAATGGAAATGGCACTGTTCCTGCAATGGGAGATGTAGTTGGACTTTGGCTTAGAAGCAATTCTTGCATTGAAAATTTCTTTGAAGGTGGGGTGTAGTTGAGGTGCACCTGTTAGAAGAAATCTTAGAGGCGAAGTTTTGGTTAAGTGTCGGAAGTTATCTAGATTTACATACTTTTGGATCGAATACATCTTCCTTGATTGGTTTCTGGGACTGTTCCCAGATATATTGTTTCACTAGGCTGAAAGGGTTCATCATTGGTATAATATGTTGACGCCAGAGCCCAACACGGTAATTGCTGTTGGGTTTTCAATTTTAAAAAGCGAGTTATGATCTAGGAGCGAGAAAGATATAATTGCAGCCCACAAACACATTCTTTAATAGTCGGTGCAACTAAAGGTATAGTTACTCCGCTTGGATTGACTCACCTGGGTAGTGCGTTACGGCCTAGATAAGCAATTCCTATCAAGGAAGTTCTGTCCGGAGCATATCACCGGGATTACATCAGTGTTATAGGATTGCATATCCGTGTTTGAATACTTTCTGTTATTATTAAGATGTGTGCTGGCAGATTGCCCTCATGAGCAGTGAGTTTACTATTGTTCCATGACCTTGCAGGACAAAAGATAGATCTACAGTTCTTCGTATCTCCCGAAACGGAATTCACATGCTTATCGTAGTATTTTTTCACTTTATCTTACCATGGTCTTGGCTCGACGGATAAGTTGGAAGCCTCGATACTCGTCAGTTGAGTAACACAGGAGCTGATATGTGAGTTGACCAAACTATAACATAAAATCGCTGTTCGCAGGACTACCAGTACCTCCCTATTTAAAAAAAAAAAAAAAAAAAAACGCCTGAAGCATGATGTTGAGACTGTAAGATAAGATCGAAAGTATATGGCGTTACATCTTTTTCAATATATCCAGCATAGAAACCAAGGGCCGTCAAAGGAAACGGGTGTATCGTCCTATAATCAACCCTAGAATCCAAACCCTCCAAGTTTACCCCATGGGGATTTCAACAATGGGGTATTCTCAATAATCACACTTTTACCCAGTAACCAGCCATCATGTTTTTACCCACTCGGCCAGCCATTGAGGCAGACATCGAGTGGGTGGAAGACCTCGTGACCATGCATTTCCCAAAGCGGTTGATTATGTCATTCCATACCCTCGGCTTTCCCCGCAATCTCGCTTTGCGTCGGCTCAACAAGAGCTTCTCCAAACCCTTGAGCATTTCCCATTCTCTACTTTATCCCTTCGAAGAACCTTGATTATGCTTACATTGTGAACCAAATTACCTTCTGTAAAGATCTCATTACAGCTGGAAAGGCTGTTCTTCCACCGTCATGACCCTCTCATCCCTTCTCCGCATTACCCCCCGCTTAACCCCGACCGCGGCCCGCAGAACGTCGCGAGCTATATCATCGGCCGCTAACACATCAAATACAACCAAGTCCTTGGACTCAATTCTTATAGCCAATCGAGGAGAGATCGCTTTGTATGTTGGGCACTGAATCAAGTATAATTGATGTTGCTAACTTCGACATGTTAGGCGAGTTGGACGCACTGCCGCGGAGCGTGGGATCCGCGTAACAACCCTCTACACCGATCCGGATAGCCGAGCTCAACATGCTTTGAGCTCCCCCTTCGCTTTTAATTTGGGGTCGGTGTCGGCGTACCTCGATGGCGACAGAATTATTGAGATTGCAAAGAAAGAAGGGTGTCAGGCAATACACCCTGGCTACGGCTTTGTAAGTTGGCTGTGAATATTTAGACTCTAGGTGCGATGCTAACTATGATATGCAGTTGAGTGAGAACTCTGCATTTGCGCGAAAATGTACGGAGGCCGGGCTGGTCTTCATTGGCCCGCCATATAAGGCAATTGAGGATATGGGTGATAAGAGGTACATTCATTGTGCTATTCGAATGACTATTTGCATATGCTTACCAGTTGTGCCATACTAGCCGTTCCAAAGAAATCATGACAGCTGCCGGTGTGCCATGCGTCCCAGGCTACCACGGTCAAAATCAAGACCCTGCCTTCCTCGAGGAGCAGGCTGACAAGATCACATACCCTGTGCTTATCAAAGCCGTTAAAGGAGGCGGTGGAAAGGGAATGCGTATTGCCAGTTCCAAGGCGGTATTTCAAGCTCAGCTTGAGTCAGCTAAGTCAGAGGCCATGAGTTCATTTGGAGATGACAATGTGCTGGTGGAGAAGTACATCACCACACCGCGGCACATCGAAGTCCAGGTATTTGCAGACAAGCATGGTAACTCCGTTGCCCTAGGAGAGCGAGACTGCAGTATTCAACGGCGACACCAGAAGGTTCTAGAGGAATCTCCGGCGCCTCATCTCCCTGATGCAACTAGAAAGGACCTCTGGGCAAAGGCACGGTCGGCTGCAGAGGCCGTCGGCTACGAAGGTGCTGGTACAGTGGAGTTTATTTTCGATAACGACTCTGGAGATTTCTACTTTATGGAAATGAACACCCGTCTCCAGGTCGAGCATCCTGTGACTGAAATGGTCACAGGACAGGACCTTGTCCACTGGCAGATTCTGGTGGCTGAAGGAGCCAAGCTGCCCCTTACGCAAGAAGAAGTGGAAGAGCGTATCGCCCAGAGTGGCCATGGCATCGAGGCCCGAATCTACGCCGAGAACCCAGCGCAGGGGTTTATCCCCGACTCAGGACGTCTACTCCATGTGCGAACGCCGGCTACTTCGGATGACATTCGCATTGACGCAGGCTTTGTGGAAGGAGACGATGTCTCAGCCCACTACGATCCCATGATCGCCAAGCTTATTGTGCGCGGTTCAGATCGTGAGGAAGCTCTCCGCAAGTTGGCAGCTGCTTTGGAGGAGTATGAAGTCGCAGGACCCGTGACCAACATAGAATTCCTAAAGGTCATTTGCAAGAGCCCAGATTTTATCGCTGGTGAGGTTGAGACCGGTTACATTGAGAAGCACCGTGAAGAGCTCTTCCCCCCGAAGACTATTGAGGAGGAGGTGCTGGCGCAGGTTGCATTGGCCTGTCTACACCGCGACGCCGTCGCAGGGGCACGATCCTCAGCCGGAGTTGCAGGCTCAACGGTCGGGTTCACTCCTAGTTACCAAGAGCGACAATTGTCATTTGCTGAGAGCGGCGGCCCAGGGTCTACCGACGGCTCCACGTTCAGTGTGCGAGTGCAGCAGACAGCAGATGACACATTCAACGTGGAAGTTAGCGGACGAGTCTTTGAGCAGGTGGTGAGCCGCCTGGATCCAGCGTCACACATTGTCACATCGTTCTTCGCGCACACCCGATTAGATACAACAGTGGTTCGAGACGAGGACACCATTATCGCATTCCAGCGTGGGACTCAGTACCGGCTCACGGTGCCCCGGGCTAAGTGGATGGAGAAGGCATTGGGACTGAAGGATGTAACAAACAGCGTCCTAGCCCCGATGCCGTGCAAGGTGCTGCGGGTGGAGGTACAGGCGGGAGATGTGGTGGAGAAAGATCAGCCGTTGGTTGTTATCGAGAGCATGAAGATGGAGACGGTGATTCGTAGTCCACAACGGGGCACCATTGCACGGATCGTGCATAAAAAAGGAGTAAGTCACGCGCCTTTCCCCCTGACTTTGATCTAGAATTACTCGGACCTGTGTGACATCTTTTGTGTTTCATTTGAATCTTTGTTTTAATTTTTGCGCCCCCTGCTTATCTCTCTGGACTGTGTTTTTTTGTTTTGTTTTGTTTTTTTTCCCTGCTCGGAACTGAAAGCTGGGGAGAGAGGGAAAAAAAAGACCCCGGGACTCTACATGAAGATTCAAGAACAACTAGCTAACATGCCTTGCAGGACCAATGCAAAAGTGGAACGCCGCTGGTGGAATTCGCCGACTCCGAATAGAGGGGGATTTCTAGTATCAAGACGCACAGGTTTATGTCTTAATCTTCTAAATATGTTACAACTAGAATATGAGGAGTTGTGGTTTGAGGCCAGAAACAGCTGCCTTCCCACCCGTAACTTTAGACCCCCCTTTGACCGCCCACTGCCCTATGACAGCACTATTCTGTACCTGCCTTGTCTAGATAAAGGATGTGATCCAGGTAATGCATGGGTAGACGTAACTCCATACTTTTTCCGTTTCCTTTTTTCCTGTCAGATTTACCACCAAATCTGTCTCTAGTACTTTGTTTCAGAGCTTCTGAATCGCTCCCGTTTCCTCAATATCTTTTCTTCCGTATTTCGCTGCCCAGCTAGCAAGAAAAATGGCGGAGGCATTTCCAAGTCCGCGTAAGCGACGCTGCCTTTTCCGGGAGTCGGTGGATAACGAAGGGGATATGGGAATCGAACAATGCCTCTATCGTACCGACCCATTTCGAAGTATTAGCTTCCTAAACCCCGATCCGACAGCCCTTAACTTCACCACCATAGCCGCTGAGGAAGATCCTACACAGCATTTACACCGAGATATCTCTAACACCCTCGACGAGTATGGTCTACCAGCGGAGTCACTTTTCAGATATTAAATACGACCATCCCAAGTGCCAGCTTTCCCCCGATTCGCGTTATTGTTACGGGTGATCATTCGCATCTAGTGCCCCTAGGGTCTATCAAAGACGGCCTTATTACTCTTCCAGACAACTATACCCTTTTCCAGATCTAGGTAGAGGTAGTCAACGGGGACCACTTTTATATCCCTAATTTGTTCCCGATCCACTTAACAGCCGAGGTTGCTATTGCGTTTCACCGTCTTAAGGATAAGATCGTCAAGCTTCTCGACGAGACTCTTAGAACCAAATGGCAACTGGTTTGTCCATTCAATGTTAGCAGGGATTCCCATTCCGCGCGGCCAGCCCTTGTTGTCGGTGTGCTACCCTCAACAAATGCAAACTGGTATCAGTTCTAAGCCCACCTGACGCATCGATTTACAGTGGTGTTGCATGAGTATTTGCACCCCAGTACCTCCACCATTGACCGCTCTTTCGTACCGCCTGCCTATTCCTACTAGTATAAACCACGCGCGCGCAGCGCGTAGTATACTAGTATTATAAAAATTACTACCCCCTTTCCCCCTATTTTTTTACCTTTCTAATTCTTTCCCTATACTATATACTACTATGGCCCGTGGCCCAGAGCTTCCACCGTACGTTCGTGAGCGTATATGTGAGCTAAAACGCTCAGCAAAATGGGGTGCTAAACGTATTCAAAAGCATGCATACCCTCATATTCCTCTCTCAACCATTCATTATACCTTACGCCAGGAAGCAAAGCGCGTCCACGGTATTTCAATACCTCGCCCTGGCCCCCCTCGGAAGCTTACTGAAGAGGACCGAGATCGTGTGTATGATACTATTTAGTCCTGTCCGGATATTACGCGTGAGGACCTACTTGCTGAGGTCGATTATAAGGTTAAAAGGCACTCGATCTGGCGTTTAACCCATGAAATAGGCCTTCGAAAATGGCGGAAGATGGATCGACCCTATCTTACGCCTATTCACGCTACGAAACGTCTTAATTGGGCCCTTACATATCGTCACTTTATACCAGAGGATTGGAGAAGGGTCTTTTGGTCGGACGAGACTATAGTTGAACGTAGACAAGGTACTCGGAAGGAATAGACTTTTATTCCTCCTAAGGATCAGCTTCAGAATCGGAATCACGGGGTTCAAATGACACTCTCGAAAGGGAAGCAGTCAAAATAGATGTTTTAGGCCTATTTCTTAGGTACTCCACGAAAAACTAGCCTTATTCCTCTATACGGAGATCTAAATATAGAGCGGAAGGGTATTACAAAAGAGGTTATTTATAATCTCTATCGTGGTATTCTTCCGACCTTACTTGCAAATGAAGATGCTATCTTCCAACATGACAACGCACCTACACATACTGCGTATATAGTTCAAGAACTACTACGCGAGATGGGTGTAAATGTTATGGATTGGCCTCCTTATTCACCTGATTTAAACCCAATTGAGAACCTCTGGGCGCTATTAAAGGCAGATATCTTAAGGCTAAGGCCTTGGTTACGAGAAATGCCTAACAACCAGGAGACCTGGGCTGAGCTAGTAGATGCAGCGCAGTATGCATGGGAGAATCTCACAGTACACCACTTTATAAATTTAGCAGAGACTATGCCGCACCGGGTGGAAGAGGTTATTAAATACGAAGGTTGGCATACTAGTTACTAGCTAGTTAGAAAATGAGAAGTTTTAACCGGCAGAAAAATAGTGGGCCTAAAGTACTGGGGTGCAAATACTTATGCAACATGACTGTACGTCGCACATCCCTCCTGTTTTTACACGCATCGAGTTCCTCCCTAGGAAACGGGACATTCAGTGATCTGAAGTGAAAACAAGTGAGGACAATGAAAACAGTAATAATAGCAAATTAATTGAGAATCATAGTCATCTGACTGTATACTCAAAGACCGGTGCCCAGGTGGGGTTACAAAACCGGGGCCAACGGGGTCAAATCCCCACATAAAAAGGATGGTCCACTATTTACCCCGGACATCCTTTTATTTACTTCAAATATTCGAGAATAGTCGGAATCTAGACTGTTTCCCCCTGTAACCCTAACTTATATGAGCTCTATTTATTCACCGAATCCCATAGAATATTATTCGGTGGCAAATTGCAAAATGCAAACTGCATGACACATGACACAGTCAGGTCAATCCGAGCTCTCCATTGGCCTACGGCAAATGCGAGTTGTCCCCGAATTGCAGAAAGTGACTGGTCCTTTAGAAAATAACAAGTAAAAGTACAAGATACGTATAGTGATTTCAGTTTTAAGATCAGGCTCTAAACATTGAGAGGTTTGAATAAGAAGAACCCTATATAGCATATAGAGTACTTTAATAAATCATCAAAAGTGCTCCATGCAAAATATGATACCGCGAAACTGGTACCCGCCGATCTGACATCACGGTCTGCGTCTTTCTATATTTTCAAGCTATGATTTAAGTCAACGAATAGAAAAAAAACACCTTTAAGACCAAAATAGGACAAATTAAGCTCCCTCCAGTCAATAGCCCCACGTCCGCTGTCCATTGGCTTGTTTTTCACCGCAATTGTTGCATTCCCCAGCCCTTGAGCTCTGAAAAAAAAATTAAAAAAAGTGAGGTCCGATGACCTGCTTTCTTTGAGACTTTCAACTTCCCCTGGATAGACCCTTCCCTCTCCCCAGTACCAATTCTCTCCAATTCCATTATCCGCACATAAATCATATATCGCATCTCTCCCAACCTTCTACTCCCACAGCTTCAGTGCGTTTGAAGCTGTGACCTTCAAAATGTTCAAGCCTACAGTCGCACGCAATGCCATCAAGGCCCTGAACACCGCCCGCCCTGCCTTTGCAGCCGCTCGCCCAGTTACGGGTTTCATTCGTCCCCTCTCAAACACTGCCTCCCTCGGAAAGAAGAAGAGCGATGACCCCGCAAAGGATCCCATCCTCTCTGCTACGACCAAGGCTCCCGGGGGTGCTTCTGGTGAGAAGGAGGGTCAATTCGCTCGTACCGATGAAAGCGTACACATCGAATACCCTCCCGACAGCGAGATGCCCGCCCAGCCTGTGGCCCAAGGACGCGGCGGTATGCATTTCAAGCGTACTCTGGCCCAATTCTCCCTTGAGAAGAAAGTCAGTGTGGTGACTGGTGGTGCCCGTGGCTTGGGTCTGGTCATGGGCCAAGGCCTTGTCGCTTCCGGCTCAGATTTGGCTATCATCGATCTTAACAGTATGTTTCTACAACCAGTACTAATGACCAGAACAGACGATTCATTCTAACATCTACCACAGGGGACGAAGCCGAGTCCGCAGCTGCTTCGTTGATCGAACAGTTCCGCAAGGAGAATCCCGGTATGGAAGAGTAAGTATCCATTGTCATGCCGTTTTAGCCCGCTGCACTGGTTAATCTCAAACAGCATGCCAAATGTAACCGCCCATTACGCGGACGTTGCCAATCCCGACTCCGTGAGCAAAGCCATGGCCGAAGTCCTGGATAAGCACGGCCAGATCGATAACCTGGTTACCTCGGCAGGCTTTACCGAGAACTTCGATGCTATCAACTACCCCTTCGACCGTATGCAGAAGTTGTGGGGCGTCAATGTCGATGGCACATACCTCTTCGCCATTAATGTTGCCAAGCACCTGATGGAGCGCAAGGCGCCCGGTAGCATCGTCATGATCGGTTCCATGTCTGGCTCTATCGTTAATGTTCCCCAGCCCCAGGCTCCATACAATGCTGCGAAGGCTGCTGTGCGTCACCTTGCCGCTTCGCTCGCTGTGGAGTGGGCTGGTCATGATATCCGTGTTAACTGCATTAGCCCTGGCTATATGCTTACTGCTCTGTGAGTACCCCCTACATAGACAACGAGATACATTCGAGTAAAGAAATCTCTGGAAAGGAATTGTTGCTAATGCTGTTTTCACTATTCAGAACCCGCAAGATCCTCGACGAGAACCCCCAGCTTCGCGACCAATGGACCTCCCTCATCCCCGCTGGTAAGATGGGTACACCTGAGGACCTGATGGGTGCCGTTACCTTCCTGCTCAGTGATGCCTCTAAGTACATCACTGGGGCGGATCTCCGCGTTGACGGTGGCTACACTGTGACCTAAGCATGCTACCTGTGAGCTATTTAATGTCACTTTGTGATTTTCCTGTTGTATGATACTAGCTTTTCTTACGTTATGCCATGAGCTGCGGCATGATTTGGTCACGCATCTTGGGTTTTGCATTTTTGGAGCCTCAAATTCCCGAGAAATACTCTGCCAATCCGTCTCTCTTTTCTCAGAGTGACTTGGTTCAAAAGTCGATTGAATTTCTTCTTTTCTTTTGCTTTCGATGATAATATAGCTTGAATCATGTAGTGTGGGGGAGCTTATAATAACCTTGGAACCATGGAATCCATAGCTCTCCATAAGAAGAGCTATGTTATGATGGCTGGTCTAGACCCCTAGGTCCTACCCAGAAAAAGGAAATCTGAAACATCCACTCCCTGTCTAGCTAATTAGCTATCCCAGCACCTCCTTGCGAAATACCAAAATTCAACGTATTAATAGGCTTAATCTGACTCACCCGCATTCCGGGATGCAGATGACCTGGAACTGGGAATCCCGGCGGAACAGGTTCCGATTTCCCCGCCACTGTTGTGCTTAGTCGGAAAATGTTGGGATCGCTGGTTATTTGCTAGTATGGACATCAAAGAAAACTCCTTGGCTGTAACATCCCTAATGTCATCTTAAGCCAAATAGATCGGTTGATTGGAATGCCTATGTAATTAATGATAGTTGATATTTCAAAAGTGCCTAAGTACTCAGATCATTATGGCCGGGCTCGGGACCTTTGTAGTTTCCAAGGTTGTATTTGTACGGATCCATGGATGCGATCTTTAAGCCGCAAACCCTAATTATTTGGGTCCAGAGCGTTGCGGAGATTGCGCTTGCCGGTATTGCCCGACTGGAGACATTAAGGAGTCGTTAAGTCACTCAGTTAAGATTCACCAAATTATCTTTATATCCTGCAGCTCTGTACCTCAACGACCATAACCAGAAAACAAGTCGCCTACTGTGTACTTTTGAATGAGGCTGTTGATGCCTTATACTTTGGGTGTCAGTATGGGGGCCAAAGACTCCCGCATTTATTTCCCTTCAACATGGGTTAACTTATCTTCCCAGAAGCTTCCCCCACCTCTCCATGACGACCTTTTCTTCTCCTTAGGTATAAATCTCACCAAAAAAATCGCTTTCGTTGCTTCTAGATCACATCCCCCCCCCCCCCCAGCTGAGCTTACAGCGTAGTCATTCCGCGCCTGCGCAAGTCGGATAGCCTGACTGGGCCATCAACCAGATCTACATCAGTCGATCATGAATAAGCTTCCGCCGGAAATTCTTCCTCTGATTTTTGCGGAAGTTTGTTTCCCCAGTTACACTACTCCCGGTTCTGCTAACAATCATTATAGATTTGGGATTTGTATCCTGAAAGTCTGCGAGGCTTGAATACAGTCAATAGAGTGTTCTACGATACGGCTGCACGCTTTCTGTATAAAACCCTCACTATTCGATTTTGCAGCAATCAGGAATATGAGCAAGCTGTTACGAATGTGTTGACTCGCCCAACCAATACCAACTGGTACAAGCACACCCGGCGGCTTGACATTATCTGTGGGCAATCAGGGTTGCAGCTGAGCTCCAAGTACGAAATGGCGATGGGCAAAATTCCCTTTCCAGAAGATGATCCCCATTTCGGCCCGGTGACGGAAAGTCTGACGGAGTGTGATGGCTTCGCTTCTCCGAAGTGGGAACTACTAGTTTCACTGCTTGGAAACATACAGCATCTAGTGGAGCTCAACTATGCGATCGCGAATGTGTTTCCACAAGTCTTACTGACAGCTCTGCATCAACACCACCCAGCTTGCAAGCTCAACATCCACGCATTCTGCCTCACAAATCTCATGTCGCCGCTGTGGGATGCCTGCGAGATGGATCTTATACAGTCCCCGTGTCTCCATGGAATTCGTTTTAGCCCCTGGACCGAGAGCAAGGACATCGGACCGGAGACTTATACCGAAACAATCTACAGGATTATGTCTATCGCTCCTAATCTCAAGCATTTCTATGTTGACATTGATCAGTCGCACTATCCTCTTTCCAAAGCGATTCCCGAAGGCAAGGGGCTTGATTCATCGGTCATGACTTTCAAGCTGGGCAAACTAAAGTCACTATCATTACGATTCGGGCAGGAAAAAAAGAAGATACTTGACGAAGCGAGTCAACATACGGACTTTTCCGAATTAGAGTCACTCGATCTGGATTCCATTATTAGTGATGATATCCCAAGAGCAATTGCCTCGACATATTCTTTTCGTAACCTGCAGAACCTATCTGTTACCATTGGTAACTCATTGAGCGAAGGAGTAGCGGAGCTGATGTTTGAATCTGTCAATCCATTGACTTATCTGAAGCTCAGAAGTTGTCTGGACACCAGCACCATTGAGAAGATCCTCATGCGTCACGGTCCAACATTGCAAGGTCTGGTGCTTCTTCCCGGACCGCATAATCGCTTATCAACTGGGACACCAAAAGGAGGTTGCTCTATGCAGGTGTTGCGATACGCTAAACTCTGTCCTCGTCTAAGGAACCTGCTCATTGAAACCCAACGCTCAGCCGGAAGTGAAGATGAAATACGGCTTTATGAAGCGTACGGTCAATTTCCTTCCCTGGAATTCCTCGCCCTGGATATGGAGTGTGCTATTCCCTACAAGCAATTAAATGATCGGGAAAGAATCAGGATGCCTGCGGTCGCTGAAACAGCATTCAGCCTAACACTGGATCCGGCCCTATGCCTCGCAATATGGGATAGAATTTCATCAACCCAGAAATCCGGTCGGCTACGAAAGTTAGAGCTTTATCCCCAAACACGCCGCAGCCTACCATCTATACGCACCGATCCCCAGCTGCTCATCATTGCGTCCAGTCTGAAACGATCATACCTTGTGCGACGAAGGATTTTTGACAAACAAGAGCTCCCTATTATTATCGAAATCGACGCGGCAAGTCATTTGCCGTTGAACTTCCCGAACAAGCCTCTCAGGCGTCCTCTGTGGTTCGAAGCATTGCCTCAGGTTGACTTTGCATTTGGGACCGTTGCAGAGCGTATATACCCATTCTATTCAAATTGGCGGTCCGAATGGTTGATGCGCCCACTGCAAAGGCTTGCTGTTGATCTTTTGACCAAGCGGTGCAAGAGGACCCGCGAAGCTGGGGATAGTGAGGGTGAGACGAAGCGATCTCGCACAATTGCACAGTGACGAACCTTGTATATCGAGCCATGTTAGAAAGCCACTTGGAAGAGCCTTCCAAAACACAGTGTACATTGTTATCCCACCAAGTAAGTAACGTATTTCACATGCGAGCTGGACACCCCAAAACACCACAGTAAATACGATATATCCTCCATTTATATCTCAACAACCAACAGCTCATTTTGTCTCCTTCTTTGTAGATAGTCATTGATAAGCCTTATTAGCACTTAATTTTAAAGGAAGTAAGTAGGAGGCAATATTATTATCATTTCAAAAATTACTAAAAATTACGGTACTAAAAACTAGAAATATATATATCGCAACCAAGGAGGTATAAACTTTCTTTAAACTCCCCTAGGATGCTAGGTATTACCTAGAAATTAGGAAGCTATAAGGTCAAGCCTCTGTAGACCACCGTTGTTGAGATATTAAGTTGTAATTTATCGCATTTACTATGGTGTTTTGGGGTGTCCAGCTCGCTTGTGTGTCCAGCTCGCATGTGAAATACGTTATGCTCATCTCATCAATCTGGAACATGTTTCTCTCATAGCTCGGTGCTAATTTCCCGTCTTGGCTACATTGCTCTGGTGTCGATCTCTTTTTATCTCCGACTCGTACCACTTCCATACTCCGTGCCGAACTTACTTACCCCCTCAAGGCTGACAAAAGTCTCTCTACAACTAGTACAAATAAAACACAACCCCCTTTTTGTCAGTGAAGTCCCATTCCTCTTACAATAACCGCCAACCCAACATGCGCTTCAATCCCACACTGAGCCTGGCCATGCTAGCCAGCGCCACATCCGCTCAACTAACAACCCAACTATTCAACTTCACTAGCTCAATCAGCATCGAAAACAGCGAGCTCCGCCCAAACGGTCATCTCCTCCTCACAACCTTCTACAAGGCCCATCTCTACACCCTCAACCCACAATCCCGCAATCCAAAAGCCGAGCTAGTGGCCACTCTTCCCGGCGCCACAGCTCTAAACGGCATTGCATCCGTCGGTCAGGACAAGTATGCCGTCGTAGGCGGGGTACGCGGCTCATACCACTACGATAACGAAACCATCTACACCGTCGACTTCAGCAGGAATGCCACAACCCCCACCATCCAGACCGTCGCCCACATCCCCGACGCCGATATGCTAAATGGCATGGCTTCAATGCCGTTGCAGCCGCATATTCTCCTAATCGCAGACTCACGGTTGGGATCTATCTTCCGTGTCGATGTAACCACTGGTATCTCGAAGGTCGTGTTGAAGAACGATGCCCTGGCCGCGCCTGCAAATTCGTCTATGCCTATTGGTATCAATGGTCTGCAGGTTGTTGGAGATAATGTATACTTCACAAATAGTGCGCTTAATATCTTTGCCCGGGTGTCTGTTAGCGAGGATGGAGAGACCTTCGGTCGTATTCAGGTTATTGCATGTCTGGAGCGCAAGGCTGGTGATACTGTTTCCGATTGGGATGATTTTGCTATTGATGCTAGTGGTAATGCTTATGTTGCGCAGCCGGCCAATTCCATTGTTAAGATCGCGCCGGATGGAACGCAGAGTGTTGTTGGTGGTGGGGGTGATAGCTTGGCTTTTATTGGACCTACTTCTGTGCAGATTGTACCAGGTGGGAAATTGGCTTATGTTACTACTCGTGGAGGTGATGAAGGCGGTGTTTCTTACGGTGGACAGGTTGTTGCTCTTCGGCTTCGCGAGTAGATATTGTACATATATGCATGTATATAAGGTATATTTAGCTACTGGAACATGCCGCAAATGGCTTATTTGCAGATTATTACCAAATGAATGTAAATCTAGGTTAGAATAATGGTCTTCCGCTTTTGGTAGTCTCTCTGCTATGCAAGACGCTGCCCTTGTCTCGACATCCTATATCTATATCTACTTTCTCGTGTATACTTGTCGAGACACATGAAGTAGCATGTAACAGAGTTCAAAGAGTGTTTCTTGGCATATCTAATTTTCCGAGAAGCCGGCCTAGCATCAGCTCGACATCTGCACGAGTCGAGTCGGAAATTGAAGATTTCTGCGATCACTTTTGTACTTGGATCTTCTAGATCGTTTGCAGTGGATTTTCAGTGGAGCAACCTGAGGAAACTACACCAGACCCAATCACAAGCTTCCCCGGGTTTTCTCCGCATACCGCATACTTGAAAGACGCTTCCCTATTGGATATACCGAATCAAGGGGCATGTGGCTGTGAATGTCACCTCGGCAAAGCTCCTTGATTTGCTCTGAAGGGCTTTTCTTCAGGTGGTATTGGGGGTTGTGCTGTATTACATTTAGCAAGTCGGCCGCCGATAGGGCTGTCTCTGCTACATCCCTGCTTGCAAAAGGACGCGCAATTTGGAATGTAACGATGAGAAGGGTCTTTTTTTTTACCTATCCTCTTATGCTTTAGTCTTGATCGCAGTGTTTTCGTCTTATTTCTAGTGGTTGAGTAGTAGCCCCTTCTTGTTCCAATACAGTAACTATAGACTTCACTTGGGCGCATCTATAGGAACGGTGAAGCCCAATCCCGGCCCGTCCCGATAATGCCGAGACGAAGTTCCAGAAAGTAGGAGACTTAAGAAGATTAAAGAGATAGATCTAGGTAGATCAAAGTAGAGGGGAAATTTAAGGAAGATCTATTCGGTCCGGTTTTGAATCTAAGGGGGTGTTCTCCCCACCTTGACCGCTACAGGCAAGGGCGAACCCCGGGGTACTACATTCCTCAAATTCTTTGTCTCTAAACTTCTCGACTTTTTTTTCTTTTCGATTCCTTTGTGGAGTGCGGAGTGCATAAAGCTTTTACAGTCATGATCTTCATACCTAAAAGCCAGTTGAGCACGTTCAAATGCTCTAACTGATGTGATACATCAACTACAAGTTCAACGTTGAATATCTTGGAGCTTCAAAAGTCTCGACTCGCCACTTCAAAGTAGCAAGGTACCCGGAAGATTAATACGATCTCATTTTTCTCTTTGAAGCTCACCTGTCGAGCTCCTTTTTTTCTTCTTTTTTTCTTATTCTTTTCTTATTCATTTCTATTTCTCTTCCCAGCGTTCTGCTTGTGCTGGATACAAAGGATGAAATCGAGCCTTGACTTTACATCAGCACGACTGGTCTACGCACCATTCAACAGTGTCACTTAATTCGGCCCCTCCTCGGCCTTGCCATTCTCACGTCACTCATCTCGTACTTCTCTCCGCCAAGTCAACATCCCAGTTTCATCTCAAGACTACCAAAACGGATATCCAAGATGCAGCCAAAGCTCCCCCAAGGTCTTGTGGCTATATCAAGTGTGTCTCCCAGCGAGATTTTGGAGCAGGATACATTAAGTAATGGTACTTACAAGAACCTTTGGCAAGGTAACGTAACACTCCTTACTCCTGGTCTCGTTGTGGACGGGCTGACTGACAACAAACAGCCTACTCAACCTCCTACCTAGCCAGCAAAGATGAAACCGAGTGTCGCCTAGAACATCTCTTCTGGAGGATATGGGGTACTAAACGACTCTCGAGCCACATAAATTCCCATACCCTAGATCGTCTTATCATGCGTATCAAGGCACCAGCAGTATTAGTCGGGCAAAGGGTGACGGTCACACCGTTGCCTGAGACCGGCGACAAAGAAAAGGTAAACACAAGTTTGTTCCGCATCGCACTATGTCAACTTCATATTGACGATTCATGCAAGCCCATCAATAAGAATCAGTCAGGCTGCGCTGCCGGAACCTGTTCTCCTCACCCAATATTGAAAAGGCCACAGCCTTCACAGATTGAAACACATAAAGCAACTCGATTACTTCTTGATACTCCTCTCGGCACAAAAATAACACTCGACCCTTCCAACTCTCCAACCGCAAGTATGGCTGATGAGCCCACCACTAATCCAGGCAACGTGGGCCATCAGCGTCACAAGAAGACGATGGATGCCGAGTCTACTCTGATGCCGGAGAAGGTTGGCAACCAAGGTCCCAAGAAGACATCCATGGCTGGTGACTCTACCGTTATTCCAGAGAACGTAGGCCAGCAAGGTCCCAAGAAAACCTACCTTACTGCAACACGTACTGGACGAGGCCCACGCCGCCGCCCGGTGTTCAACCGCCGCAAGTCCTCTCAGACATCCATCCCGAAAACGGCACCTCCAATCCGCCGGCGATCTGAGCCCACCACCAAGGCCGATGGGGCCAACACTGTCTACGAAGACAGCTATGTAGAGCTGGGTCTATTGCAGCATCTCAGCTTCCGCGACGAGGAAGACCAGCTCGCGCGTGATCTGGGACGTGAGATTACGCCGGACCCTAAGCCCGCCAAACCATCTGGCCCACTATTCGACGACGAGTTTCTCGATGAGCCTTCCGCTATCGAGGCTGTGAAAGCAACACAAAAGACATCTCCTGTTCCTTTTCCGCGAGCTTCTTCCCTTAGGCGTCCCATGTTGAGCCCTGAGGACTTCTGCAAGATCACGCCGTCATTCAATGTTAAGCAGAACCACCTCGACATGCCTGGTGGACCGCAGCTTGCCTCTCCTGATGATATTGAGGGGGACTGGACGGATATCGATGCTCTAGATTCGACACTTCCTATCCTGCAACCTTTCAAGAACTTGGTCTCACACCATGAGACTGTTGATCCAAATATCCCGGCTGTACAGGCTACTATTGCCCCCGTTGTCAAGGAGGCTTCCTTGCTAACATCTGCGATGAAGGGAGTGAAGTTATGATCCCTTATTAATGAGAGATAGAATCTTGAACTGGAGGACCATAATTACTCTGGGTGCGGCACATTAGATTCGGCCCTGATTTTGCCGGCTTTCAACATACTGTTCATTACCATGCCTTAGAGCATGCTGACCTGAGGATTCCAGAAATGCTGGATGCTTGAAGAAGATAGCATCATAGCAGACGCGGGTTACTATGGAAGACAAGGAGGTTACATTCGCTCATTGGATCGAAATTAATGGCCTGAGAATCGAATACAAGAAACATTAATACGCATGATATCTAAGTGCCTGCTTAGAGCTTGTTCTGTATATCATACTTCAATATTTGCACAGTGACCTCTACGGATGAGACTACATTAAACAGAAGCCACCGAGCTGTGTCTCAAAAATAAAATGCCTTGTATTGGAAAAACGGCATTCATGAGAAAGAGGCAAAAGAACTATACACCATGACTCCCGAGCCTAAGTGCCAGATACAAAAGGAAGAAAACGAATGCAAATGCTGTTAACCTCCCCATTTTCCCATACGATACCATCAAGGCATCTATCCATAACAAATTCCACTCAACAAGCCCACTATCGAAGCGAGCTTTCCACCCCCCAAAATCTAAATCTGTTCACCCTTCTCAGCATCAATCACACCCCCAGAAACAGCCGGCCTGCGACTCTTTAACCAGCGCACCAAAACCCAAGAAGCAGTCATAACCCAGAAGACCAAGTTAATAATATCAATCCAAACAGCATGGCGCATCCGATTAATCTTCGACGCATCACCAAGCGCAGAGGTCGTAGTATCAGTCTTCGAACTCGAACTCGAGCTCTCCGAAGGATGAACACCAATATACATCTTCCCGAAGATGCCAAACAGCGTCAACCACAGCACGGAAACAACAAACTCCCATGCAAACTGCGGCAGCAGCAGTGCAGGACCAAGTCCCGCGCCGAGCTTAGCTTTACGCATGATAAACGGCAGGATGAGATGAACTGCTGCGGTGCCGGTTGCGAAAAAGCCCGTGACGAGCGCGTACACCCATTTCGAGTGCCAGGTGTGTTTCTCTGAGTGGTCGTGGTGGACGTCTCTGCCGTACAGGCCGATGACGGTTAGGCCGAAGATGAATTGGAGGAAGCGCAGACCAGTGAAGAACATGAAGGTTAGTTTGGCGCTTTTGCTTTGTTCTTGGGGCGGCGACTCGAAGTGCATTGTTGTGCCGGGCGTCGCGCCGGCTGGGTAGCCGCTCATTGGGTGTTGCTCTGATTGGTAGTTTGGGGGGTAGACGCCGGCGTTTTGGTATTTTTGGAGGTCTTTCTTGGCCTTGTGCTTTTTGGCTTGGTTGTAGCCGAGTTTGAGGAGGGGAACGGCGAGGAAAGACATTTGTGATGTGGTGATGTGGTAGTTGGGAGTTGGAAGGTGCGGATGGAAGCAAAGTTATGTAGGTGATTCCTTCAAGGAGATGGCGCACAGCGCAGAGATTATATCAAGAAGTAGAGAAAGCTGGATTCGAGGAGAATAAGACGACTGTTCCAAGATTCGGCAGACCAGATGCCAAATAAGAGGAACGAAGCAATTATCGAGATTGTATAGCTGGATATGAGGGTAAAGAGAAACTTGTCTGTCGTATTCAAAGTGTATAATAGAAATAGAAGAGAACAAAAGAGAGAAAGAAGAATGATAATAGAATGAAGGACGAGTCTGGGTTCATCGATGGCACAGCCCATATCGTTCTTTATATACCAGCCCTATTCTTGTTCCCCGGGACATATTCGTCAGAACCTCAAGACAACAAAGCCCAATGTTAGTATTTTCTAACATCTGCAGCCCAAGATGAAACGCATCTCCTTTGAGCGCGCGGTTCTGCGGTTTCTCCACTGTGTACCGTCGTCTTTCATCCAAAGACAATGAGTCGGGGACGAGAAGATGAAACGTGTAGATCAAAATAGAATGCCGAACACCCCCTGGCATCAAACGCTAACACAAAGCTAGCAAGCTACGGCTTGCAGAACTTGCAGAACTCATGATCCTGGTATGGTGGGGTAGCTTCAGTTCGCGCGCGCCAACTCGGGTTTGAGATGGTTTCAAAGTGTTGCTCGAGGTCCAATCAAATTACTCGGTTCTATTTTTGGGATCAGAACCTTGGAAGTATATGCACGAAGTATAGAGTAACTGGTCTAAGAAAAGAATACATGCTACAAGAATGGACATTGGATCATTTCACATCTGATTCAGTACATATCATGAACATTACAATTACAAATAACCAGGAACTTCAACGAAGTCCGATGAGTTGCTCGCCGTACCAGCATGCTTGAGAGGGGATTTCCTTGCATGCAACAATCCGAGAACACCCCTCAAAATACCCGAACACCATGTCAACCCCCGAAACCAAATTAAAAAAAACCCCAATGCAATGATGAAACGCCAAAGAACAGCTATAAGGATGCGGTAGGTCAACTATGCCGGTCGACTTGCTCCGGAATCCGCAGCACCCTTAATGCCTTGAACAGACGCAGAGATCTTCGGATGATTTCCAGTGGGTAGTGGAGGCTTGAGGTCGGAGGGGGACGCAGGGGCGGAAGGTGGGATCGGCGAATTTTCATCATCATCATATTCATGTCCTTGGTACTCATCATCGGGAAGACCTGACCCACCGCCAGAGGAGTGGTCCACCGAAGCGCGGTCGAATCCCTGCTGGTAAGGGTGCTGGGAGCCATTCTTGGATGCGTTCTTAGTCGCCTTCTTGGTCTTGCGACCCTTCATCTTGGCCTTCTCCAAAAGTCGCTTCTTCTCCGCCAATCGCTTGCGCTCTTTACGGTCTTTCATCTCATACTGTCGGATCAGGGCTTCGGGTGGATGCCCAAAGATGCTCTCATATTCACAGAATTCACAAATCCAGATGTCCTCGAGACTCGGGGGATGGTGAAAGTTCGTGTATTGTTGCTGGACCTTGCGTTGACGTGCAGATAGTGCATATGTGCTGCCTGGAGACCGTTTCTTCTTGGGTCCCACGGGAGTTGGCTCCCCGCCTTGAGCGGGTGCTTGTGTACCGGGTGGGGTCTGATTACTGTTCACGGGGCTAGTTTGTGTTCCTTGTGTAGAGAAACCCCTCTGTTTTTGACTTGCCGAACCGAGTGGTGAAGTGGGCGATCGATAAGGGATTGAATAATTTCGCTGCATCGCCATGCCCTTGGACGAGTCAGACTCACATGTAAATGTGAATTGTGTCTTTGTGGGAGTGGTATTTTCTTTCTCTTTTTCTTTTTCTTTCTCCAACAGGCTGACATTGCTGGGGCCTCGAGGTGGAGAAGAGTGTGTTGCAGCATTGGCGATCGCGGTTGAGATAATTCCCTGGTCAGAAGTAGATTCACCTGATGCACAAGTTAGAACGGTGTGTTGGGGGAAGGAAGGAGGAAAATGCATACCAGAAGGGCCAGGGGATGACATCAACCGACTGGGCGTCTTGGCATTCAACCATCCATGCTGAGCATTGGGCGATAACGGATTCCTGCTGCTACTACGAACAGTAGGACGTCCCAATCGACCTCTTCCTGAACCAGAAATCCCACTCCCTAAAGGAGACGCAGGGTTCCCACTCCCATAATATGTGCCAGTGGCATCAGTAGGTGTGGGAACCCGTACGGGGGTTGAGCTTGCCAACCCCATACTGGCGAACTCCGGAGACAAAGCTGAATGGTGTCCTCCCAAGTTTCCAGGCGTAGGTATCTTTCTCTTTTTCTTGTTGTTCGTATTCTCAAACGCGTCGTAACCGTCCCCAGTTGAAGATTTTGAGTGTGGTGTGTCATGAGGGAAGCTGTGTGGATTGCCAGACACGGGAGGTGAGAGCGATGATCTCCGGATAACACCACTCCTCCGAACAACCATCGGACCGCCTTCATCACCGCTCTCCAACTCTATTGACGTCTCAAATTCATGGCTGTCGACCTCTGGTGACAATTCAGTCTCCACGGTCTGCTGCACATAAACTTTGGACTCATTCACCGCTTCTTCAGAATCTGCAGAGACGCCATAGAATATCTGGGACGCCGGCGGCGTAGGAGGATAGAATAGGGTGTCGGCAGCATCGGAAGAAAGGCGTGAACGGAGGGTCCGTCTAGGTAGAGGACGGATCAGACGATCGGGATAGATAGTAGAGGGTGTGTCAGGAGACGAATTGAACACCCCGTCTACATGCATCGTCAGTATTCAGTCAACTAGGTGATCGTTCTCCTAAATTGGGGAATTCCCGATCATCCGAACCAGATGTCCCTGAGCAGACATACTCAATGTAGCTGTCATCATGCAAGATATCCACGCTCGCCATCAACCACCGACGATGCTGTAAGGATGATATTCCAGCCCTTTGGCTCTGTCCTTTTATCCCCCGCCACCGTATATGCTTTTGAAGGTGCCAATAATCCAAAAGTCGGGGGGGGAGTGTTGAATTGAGAGGTAATGTCTTCAATGTCTGTGGTCCACGATCATAAGCTTTGTGCCTTTCAATAACAACCTCCCGAGAAGTGTACAGGCGGTGAGGTCAACATATAACTGGGATTCAATCCAATCCCCGCGTTCCTCTGCTGTCCACAATTCCCGGAGACACGAATATCAACCTACCCACAAAATAGTGCTGTTACTCAGCACCTTATAGATTCAAGATCGACAGTATGGGATCCAAGGTCGGAAGTGAAGCAAACTTGAATCCAGATTCAGTGTTAGAGTCAAGGCAAAGTAACTAGAATAACTACTAAGAGGGGTTGAGGGATATGAAGAGAAAGAGACAAGTCACGGGAATTTAGAAAGCACGCTAATCTACTTTGAGTAATCCTCTACCCAATGACTTCGGCGAGAAGTGGCATTACCTAGGCACACCATTCTGAAGAAACAATCTGCAGATCAGACATCTGCAAGCACATGTTTGTTGTATCTTCCAGATACCATGATCTATTATAACCATCGCACTGACGGGTTCTCTATTTTGGGGGGAACAAAAAGTCCCGCTCTCCGATCATCTCCCACTCCCGGTACCTGCATTCACAGGAAACTCACTCCCTAAGAGATGATGTGAGGGACTGCTTGAATACTGGTCATGGATTTACTGATTGCACCACGAACCATAGCCCTAACTCGCGCAACGCGCGGCGAACCTCGACCGCGTGTGATAGGACCTACTGAACCCCTCCGCAAAGCCTTACCCGAAGCCTCGTTTTGCCTCTCCAACCACCAACGCACTCCGGAGCATGTCTCGGACGAATAACTACATCATCTAGATGTTAGGAAGAATCATTGCCATAAATCCCAACTAGCAACTTGACCACAGTTGGCTTGCCGAAACGGAGTCGGTTCGGAATGTGAGGCAGGTACGAAGGATGGTACAGACATACAGAACTTGAATCAGTAGGAATCATAAGATCAGTTGTTGCTATTCGTTCTACAGCATATGAAGATTCAAAGTCGATTTTTGCGGGTTAAGCCTTCCAAGGCCATTAGACCTTTTTTGGCCTCTTTCTACTCCTACTCCGTACAGTGAGTGGTCTCTACGTTATTTTACTGGGACGAATCGCATCGGTTTTTTAAGGAGGACTCCGGTAGCCCTCTACAGTACTACGTGTTGTGCCTTGTTCCCTGGCCAATTCTCTTTCGCTTGCAAGCTCCTTCATTGTTTTATCCTGGTGTGGTAGTAAAAAAAAAACAACCCCCAATTAGTGGGCCGCAAACCCATTGTACACAGTAAATATTTGGCCGAGAAATAGCAAAAAAAAAGTGTATAAAAACAGCATTAAGTTCCTCCGTAAGCAATAGGGAAAAAAAATAAGTGAAACACGAACGGCATGAGTGGTAAAAGATTCGCGCGTTGAGAGGCGTCGAGAGCGGGGAAACCGGCGATTGGATCTTTTGGAGTCCCGTTCCGGTGCTTTTCTCCTTCTCTTCTTCCTCCCCGCCATTACAAGGAATCATTTCTCGGACTATGTAGTCATCGGGCTCTTTATCGAGCCTTGTGACGCCTTTATACATATCTGTGATTTCCAATTGTCCTGCTCCTTTCCACTTGACACTACACCCTTCCCAAGAGCTGTCAATCGCGCGCGAGAGCTCCCTCGCAAACGGCTTTTCTCGAGTTACTGCTGGAACCACACCAGCCAACGGCTCGAAAATCTGTTGATTTTTCCGAATCTGGTCTCCAGAGCTCTCTTTTATACTCTCCTACAATACTCGGCCCTCCCCCACCATGACTCCTCGTCGTTCCTCTCGGGCTCGCACCTCCCAGCCCTCTCCTGCCCTCCGACAACACACCAACTCTTCCTCCAGCTCCTCAAATTCTCTTACTCGAGAGAGAAGCACTCGATCAAATCATAAAAATCCTTCTCCTCACGAATCGACCGGCAACCGCTCTCAGTCCATCGATGATGCAGAGGGTGGCTCGAAAGACCTTCCACATACGCGGCAGCGCCAGCGCGCTCACGACGACGACGATGATCCACCCCGTGAAGAAGACGAGGATGACCTAGATGATGAGGAAGAGGAAGTAACTCGGTGTCTCTGCGGTCAGCAAGAATATCCGGGCTTGCCTGCTTCGCGTCGCGAGGCTCTCGGTCGCGGCACCATCAAGCTGGAGTCAGGACAAGTCCCCACTGATCCATCTGATCCTCTGTCAGATGAGATTGGGAGTATGTTCATCCAGTGTGACTTGTGTAAAGTCTGGCAACACGGCGGTTGTGTTGGAATCATGGACGAGGCAACGAGTCCTGACGAATATTTCTGCGAGGAGTGCCGGAAGGATTTGCACAAGATCAAAGACGAACCTCACGGGTGAGTGAAACCCCTTTCTTTAACTTTACTCGGCCCTACATATTCCTGAATTTGCCATCAATATATGCTGCGGTGGTTGTGCTTTGGGCTTTGCTCTTGCTGGTTGGAGGGGCTGTTTTCCCGACGCAGCTTCGAGCACAATAATTCCTCCAAGCAGTTATGAGAGACAGATCACTACTCTATATTGCTATATAGACCATTTTGGAGAAGCATACTGACAATCCTGCAGACAACACTCCTCTACCTACCTTCCTGTTGCACCAGAGCCAGTTCCGCCGCCGCCACCACCACCACCCCCTCCTCCTGGTCGAGCCCAAACCCCAGCTCCAGCTCCAGCTCCAGCCCTGACCCCGACCCCGGCGGTGCCTGAGGTACCCGAGGTACCAGTAGGCCCAGTCGGTCCGATCGTGCCCGCGGTAGCCCCATCCCCCGGTCCCTCCTCTCGTGCCTCATCGAGAGAGATATCACGGCGTTCCAGGGATCCCAAGTCCCGGAACAGCGAGAGTGCCGCCGCGCACGCCAAGCGGCGATCAACAATGAACAGCCGGGATGCTGCTTACGACGAAGAAGAATTGATCCGACGCGCAATTGAGGAGAGCAAGGCCGAGACCAAAAGTAATGCGGATGAGACAGACACACATCTGGGCAAGCGAAGTCGAAGTGACAGTGTGACGTGCGTTTCCCAGGCTGAACGGCATTGGTTCGGATAATGTGGCTGACCAAGTACCCAGGAACAGAGAACGAGCGAAACGTCCACGAACTACTTCACCGTCACCTAGCGCCGTCTCGAGGCATAGCAATATAGCATCCCACCCGCCTTCTGATGATGAGACGAAACCCAAACCCGCAGTTAATGGGGCTCGCAGACAGAGAGCTACATCTCGAGCCCAGCTGGAGAAGGAGCCTGCGAACGACGCCGATGAGGGCGAGGCAGAGGCCCCCGAAGCGGCGAATCGTCGGAAAGAACGATCAAACCGGCGCAAAGGAGATGGTAAGTGATACAGCCCCAGTGCCCAATTGCTCCTCCTCACACCACTATAACAGAATCCGAGCACGAAATTGGTTCCCCAACCAAAACAGCACCGCCAGAACCTGAACCGTCCCAAGCAAGCCCTAACACCCCTACTCCACAAGAGCCCACACCTGTTCGTCCGTCAACCCGCAAGTCCGGTCGACCTCCCGCTCGTCGCGGTCGTGTTGGACGAAACCAATATACAAAAGACCGGGACACCAATGGGAATGGAGATTCAGGGTATATGGCGAACTCACCGCGCCGCGGCCAGTCCCACGAGATCGGTGGAGACTCCCCTCGCGTTGGCTACAGCGGTGTCAATGGAGCACACCTCAATGGTGGGGAGTCAGGGCGGCCAAGCAAGCCGCGCCACATGCACCCACAGCGAACGACGATGAACGAGATGAAGCGCCGAGTAGCAGCCATCCTGGAGTTCATCTCGCGCATGCAAGTGGAGATGGCCGTTGCTGGCGAGAACTCCACCCCTACAGGCAACGGCGACCGGTCCCAGGGCCTACTCTTGAAGAGCATGGTCGATCAGATCGACAGTGCCATGCCATCCACACGCAGCGATGGCGACGAGTCCGGCCCCACAACCACAGACGGCGGCTACGGCGAGTCGTCTACGACCCATGAAAAGGATTTCAAGGAGCTCAGCAGCGTCGAGATGATGGACGTGCTCACTCGCCATCTTCTCAAGTGGCAGCAGGAATATGGCAAGTTTGGAGAACGGTAGTCTCCGCCACTACCACACAGCTGGTTTCCCTCTTCTTCTCGCTCCGTCTCATCTTTTGAGCTTATCCGCTGCTTCGCATCACGATACCCATCTTAATTTGCTTTTCTCGCCCTATCGATGTACACTAGACCTTGCTCCCTGTTTCTTTTCTTTTCTTTTCTCTTCTCTTCTGTCTTCTCTATGTCACTCCATACTGGTCCGGCGTCATGATCATCCTAGAAAACAAGGATGCTATGTACCTAGTGGCGGCTCCTCGTCTTGCTTGGTTCCAAGGGTTCATTGCCTGTGTTATTTTTCTATATGTTTATTTGTGGTCTATGCTTTGCTATGACTTTCTATGTCTTGCTATTCGGTATGGTCATTCTTCTAAGAAGTCCTCTTCCTGGCTGGCCTTTACTTGTGTCTTTCGTTATTTTGGTGCCTAGGTTTCATTTTTGGTGTTTGGGGGAAAACTCAGGACTTATATATCGCTGTTTGGCTTTTTGTAAGAAATTCTTTCTTTTTCTAGTGGGAATAGTATCACTACTCTTTTGTCCGTTACAGATATTCAATATATTAGAGACAATGGGTGTTCCCCGTCAAGTATAGAGTATATTTTACATACATAGCTTGTCTATGGGAGAAGACACTGCCAGTGTTCCTAGCTGAAGAGAACAAGCGAACCAACGTATTAAAAAAGCCCAACGGTACTTCCGAGGTCTCCGTGGGCATCTTGCTTGACCCTATTGATAGGATGTATCAAATATCTTTTGAATACATTCCCCTGTCTCGGTACATTGCAATCTGTATCGAGCAAAATACCGAACCACCGACTATATTTAGAGTCAAAAAGCAGGCTTGTATCTTCTCACTGCCTTGCATATTACACTATAGGCTCGGAATTGGGTACCAGGTATGCATTGTAAGAGTTTATATCGGTTTTTGTAATTGACAAACTGGTATCGGCACTGATGGTCCGACAAGATGATACACAGTGCACATGTGGATATCGTGGTCGGTCAGATGATATACTAAGCCTAGATTAGCAAAAGACTTTTTCAATGTATTTGAGCCAATCTTTTTACAGCAGCCTAGTCTTAGCTGGAACTCAAGCGGGGGTTCTCATCTTCCATGGAGACATCTAGATGGGGCCTCTCTAGTTGAGCTCCAACAACCAGTCAACTTGCAGTCACCTGCAAACCGGGTTGATAATATAGTGCACCCAATTCGAACATACCTCGTGTCTTCTAGTAACCAGGTCCTTTCAAGACGAGCCGCCAGAAACCCCCGAGGATTGCACGAGGAGAAGCTACATTGCTGTCAACTGTGTAGTCGACAACTGTCTCAATGAGCTTTTTGGCTGTGATTTCGGATTTTGTAACCGCAGCTGCTACAGGTAAGAGTGCCTTTTCTCGTTAGTATGTAACTATGTCCAATTATGAGGCTCACTCCACTGACAGGTGCAATGGTCCAATCGCGGCGAAAATGATAGCGGAGTGGTTGTTTATTGACGCCTAGAACGGGTTCTGCGTTAGCATATGCGTCTTATTGATGGATAAAATACCAAGACTCACGTATCGTTGGACATGATGTCCAGACGAATAATATATAGGGCACATAGTCATGTTGGATGGATGGATTGAACGTTGCGTGAATGTCGTCGACGGTGGATTTTATGTCTACTCGTGCTAAGGTACCCGGGGTTTAACAAAGCTCATAGGAGGGAGATATCCGGATCCTAATGTGGCAAAGAAAGTTGCCTCGAGTACCGCTGGGAACTAATTAGATGTAGTATCTAATCAGATGTACAGTTAGACATCTGCATACAGCCTAAAGTCATGAATTAGGCAAAGTATATAATTCCAGAGCTATGCCGTTCAGACAGACAAGATTTCCTCCAAGTCAACGCGGCCTATTCTCATAGGGAGGCAAGATATAATAGGTATCGCGGAGATTCCGGTGAACTGGGCATATCCGGCGATTCGGGGGCCGCAACTCCTCAAAGAATATAGTTTGGGTTATATAAGTAGATTGTGCTAGCTTTGTTCATTCAGTACCAAAAAGAAGTATGTATATCATTGTTGTATCGTAGAGATTACATGTAAAGCCTACATCGCCAGACTTGTCAAGCTATGCATTGAGCGCAGCAAACCGTAAACTATTGTCTCTTGGTGCCGTCCATCAGATTCCATAACTTGCAAAGCAATCCACCAATACGTCGGGAGCTTCTCGCACAATGATTGAATGTATACGCATTTATTATAGTGCAACGTCGGCGCCTCGTTACACTAGATGTCTGTGTACTAACCACACCCAAAGCCCTCGATATTCAGCTATTTCAGGCGCAACTTCTCAAAAGATGTAGTTTTTGCCACTCAAAATAGTTATATATTCACATCAGTTGACCCAACAATATTCCAAGTCAGCCGCTTATGCGACCTTGTCATGTCTTTTTAGGCGTATACGAAGGCGGTAAAAAGGCATACTTTGTGCACGAGACTTTTTATGTATAACATTTGATGAAACATTTGATGAATTGATGATGATGATGACTTTCAAAGCATCATATAAATAGGGGAGCCACTCTGGTACCCATCTTATCAAAGCTCGTAAGCACCAATAGAAATAATCCGATCTCAAGATAATCCCACTATGTATGTAAATGTACAGCTCAACTGAACTCGAAAAGAGGTCTGCTGATCCTATACTCCATGTTCCGTGGGGATCTGGGAGAACCACAATAATACAATATGAAGAACGGTGGAGCCGATGTAGCCCTGAAGGGATTAGACAAACAAGCATGTTGTACGAGACTGCTAGGCTTGGCTGTTGAGAAACGTACGTGCTCTGTAGATATTCTTATATGTATTACCTTTTGGGCATCCAGACTGATTGAATTCTTCCTACTCCGTAGGCATCAAGGTACTCCGTAATAAGCACTGGATTTCAATGGAAGTCCGCTTATATTGTGGACAATTGGTTCCCGCCCCATACGGTTGTACCATGGTACCCGGGGACGGAGTACTCCGTGGAAAGGGGCTACACGATATATAATCAACATCACCACTCCATTGGACAAAATCTGATAATGTGACTCGAGTCGAAACAGGGTAACCACCTTTAAATGTCTCATGGAAACAGATGTACGAAAGTTACTCCGTACCGTTAGGTGAAACACATTTCCCAACCTCCCTGGCGGTAAGACGGTCTAGACATGAGCTGCATGCGCTGGCTGGCGCCTCACAGAGGTTGGGCCGGGGCTGGGGACCCAAAAGAGGGTCAATGATCTCGATGAATCACTTTCCAGTGGAGAAGTGCATTGGTCAGTAATGGTATTGGTATCACTGCCGCGTATTCTGTAACGTGTTCAGATGTGAAAAGTGTCAGATATGGGCCAATGGCTGCCTAGCAAACGCCGAATGGCAGAATTAAAACAAAAGGACACCCTTAAGCCGAGGGAATCACCGTGAACATGTCTCCGCAACCCCAATGCAATTGTGCCGATGTGATGGAGCCAAATAAGATCGGCGCCAAGGTGATCCAGATGTCCGATTCGACCCGGAGGTTGCTATGGTGATGGTGTCGGTGGCGCGGTGACAATACGTGCAGGCTGGCCAGCCCCCCATGTGAAAGGGCCCGCGGTGTATTGCAGAGTTCGGGGTATCCATCCATGGAGTTGCATTCCTGGAGGGTTTAGAGTGATTGACTAGAACAAAAAACAAGCGAATTCAATCAAACACATTGTACAATTCTAATAGGTCAATTCAATTACCGTAGAGAGAGAGTAAGGAGAAGAGTGAACCTCGGTGATCAGCGGAGAACCCAAACCGGCAAGGCGGCGTAAACAAAGGGCCTGGCATAAATAATCGTGATGCTCGCCAACTGCGCTGGTCTCTTTCTTCTTCTTCTTCCATTCCTACGATCTAACATTCTTCTCATCTAAGCTTATCTTTTTCCCCCTCCATTCCAATCATCTATCTACAGGATAAAAAGATCTTCTCTTTTTCTCCTCCCCCCCCCCCCCACTTCGAGAAAGACTTCCCTTTCAAGTCTTTTCTTGTTTAGTCTTTCGAGTTGTTTAACGACAGTTCGGAAGGCATTCGAGAAAAGACGCTCAAAAGTCCGTCAATCTGGACTTTGACGCCCGTGTCCCAATCCCCTTCAGTGTCTTCCCGTCGTCGTACCGGAGTGACGCTGTCTCTGAAACTACTCAGACTAGAGTAGAGGGAGAAGTCAATTTCGATCGTACTTCGCGCGTCGAACGGGAAGATACTCGAGGTTCTGCTCCCCTTCCCGCTCCTGTTCACGGAAAGGAAGAAGTCGAGTTTCGCATTCAAGAAGAGCGTCCGCGCATTCGAGAAGAACACCCTCAGTACCAGCAGCAATCGCAGCAGTACTCGGAATCGCACTCTCAGCAGTACCAGCAGTTCCAGCCCTCTCACCAGCCCTCGCACAACTACGCCCCTGAAGTTGAGCTTACTCGTGAACGGTATGTAATGGTTTTTCCTCGGTATTGGTTTTTTATCGTCTTTTTTTTGTTTTTTTACCCCCCAACCTCCAGCGTCTCCACTTGTGAAAGTGGAGACCTGCAGCTGAACTAGCAGTTATTTGTTGTGAGATCTCCTATCTTGGTTTAGATCGATTACGGATTTGGTCGGAGACTAAAATTACGTGTCATCAAAACCTGATCCACTTCAATTAGCGGTGACTGGCTTGTTTTGTTTATATGTTTATGGTACCCGTGCATGTGGGCTGACCCTTTTCCAGCTACCCCAGTTACCAACAACCACAACCTTCTGTCGACTACGAAGACCGTACTCAAGTCTACGATAAAGTCGTCGAAAGTCAAATCGACCTCACTGAAAGAGACTACCGTCAGCGTACCTCTCCCTCTTACGACCTCGACGTCTCTTACGACCGTCGTTATCGTCAACCCGTAGACTCCGCCTACGGTTACCAAGCCCAGTCCGTCGACGTCTCGTACGACCGGATTTCCCAGCCCCAGACCGACTCTTACAAAGAAGACGACGTCTACCTTCGTGAAGTTCAGCCCCGTGCTCGTTACTCCACCCCGACCCAAGTAAACGTTTCTCAGTCCACTACCCGTGACACCGCCCCCACTCGCAAAATGGGTTACTACGACGACGAAGGCCAGTACCACTCCTTCCGCCGTGGCGTTGAGCGCGCCGCCGACCGTGTCATGCACCCCTTCTCTCACTCCGAGCATGAGGAGTCTCACGCCGGCGAGGTCGCTCTTCCCCGTGAGAACGTTCGCGTCGTCGAGCCCCGCAACCGCGGCTCCGCTGGCGAGACCGTCCCCATCCCCTGCCACTTCATCCGTGTCGGCGACATCCTGATCCTTCAGGGCCGTCCTTGCCAGGTGATCCGCATCTCGGTCTCCCCCCAGACCGGCCAGCACCGTTACCTCGGTGTCGACCTCTTCACCCGCAAGCTGCAGGAGGAGTCCAGCTTCGTCGCCAACCCCTCTCCCTCCGTGGTTGTCCAGACCATGCTCGGTCCCGTCTTCAAGACCTACCGCATCCTGGACCTCCGTGATGATAACCGTCTCGTCGCCATGACCGAGAGCGGTGATGTCAAGCAGGGTCTCAATGTCATCACCCAGGGCCACCTCTTCAAGCGCATCAGCGATGCCTTCGCTGACGGCCGTGGTTCCGTTCGTGCCCTCGTCATCAACGACGGTGGCCGTGAGCTCGTCGTCGACTACAAGGTCATCCACGGCTCCCGTCTGTAAATTGTTTTTTTTTTTTTTTTCTGGGTTTCTCCTAGAGGGGGGTCTAGATACGCTTGTCCCTCATCCATGGTGTGATGAAATAGTTATTTGTTTTCTTTTCCTTTTTGCTTGTGTGATTTAATTTCCTTTTGTATTACGATCTCATGTATGCAACTTTTTGTGTGCCGGTGAAAACTTGAATGGATTTATCTGTACTCAATTAGCCTTGGCTTCCTTGTAACTAGCTCATAATGCAGAAATTAGGTCCATATCCTAACTTAAATCCGCTTCTTTACTTTTCTGGCTCATATTGAAGTTAGGCAGAAACCCATCCTGCATGTATTATTGGCTTGGCGAGGATCAAGTTTTTCACGTCTTTTGCCTTTGGATGTTCTAGATATATGTCCACGAAGTTAAATGTTGTTCTCTTTCACCATTGTTGAGGTGAAAACGTAAGTTATCACAAATCCTCGGATATATATTTCACAACCATGGTTGCCCTCGGGGTGTCTTCAGGCACCGCTTCCCATTCGCTAACCTCAAATTATCTCAAATTTTCTATAGATACATATTGATGTTTTAAATGTATAAATATAAACAGAGGATCCGTACATATCTTCAAGTTGGTTTCTCCTTACTTCGATGGAGAGGTTGCCGAAGGCCAAATCGCCTGTATTCCCCCGTGGGCTACCAACCCCGTTTATCCCAGATAAGCACCCCGCTATCCATAATCCTTGATAGCTCTGGAGTCATCCATGCATAGCACATACTGACTTTTATTAAGAAGTATCCATGGGTGGAGTGGAAAGATTGACCAATCTCCGATAATTGCGCGGTGGATCACCCCTACGTTTAAGCAATCCCCATGTTCGGCCAAGACGAACATTAAAGAGACTCTAGACTTCAGAACCTGTATCGAAATGCTTATCACGAGGCCCGGGCTTCTCCGGGTCGGGATTTGGTAGAAGAGCCCAGGATCTACCTTATCATTTCTACATAATGATTGTAAATGTGACGCGGATCACTCGGTTATCCGGCCACCTAAATCAAGATGAACGCCATATGTGGACGCGCGTTCAGAGTGGAGTGACATCCTGCAATATGGGCGCAAAGACGATTCTGATAAGTCTATGACGAGGCTCCGACTCGCGAGCTGTTCGGATTTTGCTACTCAAGAAAGATCCTATGCGAAGAACTATATAAAGAACATCCGAAATAAAAACTCTCTTCCATGAATGACTGATCATCTTGAAGACAGTAGACGCCTAGTACTCAGTTATTCCCTATAGCCTGTAGCTGTGCTTGGTGCTGTTGCTGTGAATACAACTGAACAACACACCGTACGCAACAAGATTACATGTGTTCACATGAGACGCGGGCAGGGAGTGCGATTGCAAGAGCGACTGATAGATATTTGGGTCTCGCTACGGGAAATCGAAGACATGGTACTGCAGCGATTACAGTTGTTAATGGAGCCGTCTTGAACCGCCATAATATTATGGCTACACCATCCAAGAACGCAGTCCAAGCGGTCATCAACCAGTACATCGATAGTTTGACAGAGCCCGTTACAGATGTTAAATCAGAAGGTAAATCCCCAACTGTTTATTAATAGCTTCTTTCTCACAGTAAATCATAGATACACGAAACTCCGGAACTGGTGTACAAGGAACACGTTGCCTACGACGCTATCTGTGAATTCCTCCAATCCCAGGGTATCCAAACCACACGCCACGCCTACGGCCCCAGCACCACTTTTGAAGCGAAATTTGTCAATGGAGATAGTTGCTCCGTGGATTTTAACGCCGAGTATGATGCATTTCCCGGAATTGGACATGCGTGCGGTCACAACCTCGTTGCTATCCAGCATTACTGGGCCTTTAGCTCTGGTATTTGGAGGTAAACCCAAAAGGTAGCATAAATATAAATGATATCTCCCCGTTGAATAGTTTTCATCCTAACAATTTACTTATCACCATGACATCTATTGACTCCGAGACGAAATCATGTCCTCCAGAGGGCCCAAGACAAGAGATTTCCCTAGGGTGTAACACCAATATATCCCCTGGGGAGTCTCGCCGAGTTCGAAGAAAAGCCGATCTTATTCTTCTACCTATACTTGGGTTCTGCTACTTTCCCCAATTCCTAGACAAGCAAACACTGAGCTATGCCAGTTTACCAGGAATGATTGAAAACATACCTGCAAGACATGCAGTTCTCATGGATAACGTCAATGTTTTACTTTGGATATATGCCCTGGTCGTACCATACCTCGTACCTCTCTATCCTTTTGCCGATTGGAAACTACCTCTAGTCTGGGGACCAGCTCTCGGGTCGTCGCTAAATACGCCTCCTAGCGCCGTTGATCGCGCAGAAGGAGCCATTAATTACTACGAAGCCACCTTCCCTGGAATGCTCTGATGATCGAGGGCTCAATTATCTGGGATCTGAATACCGTCGAGGCAGCGTTGATGCAAGTGGTTGGGGAAGTGTGCGATGTGGAGTGTATCAACTGCCTTCGGGGCCAGGGCCCGTTTTTACAATGCGCCAGGGAGGGTAGTCTCCCCGGTCTCATATGCTGTATGAACTATCACTGGGAAGGAAGACCGAATACCCAGTGCATTGGCAGCCGTCTTCTTCCTATTTTGCGTGGTCAGAGAGCCCCTCCAAACGCCCGTCACAACCGTCCCGATGACGACGCTTGCACATGCGCCTGCTCTGGCTAAGCCGAAAACCTGTCGCTCGTATAAATCGGCTCGATACACTGGTTGCCGACAACAGTATCACCAGGGCTATCGAAAGCACCTTCGACTCAGCTCTTGTCATTCGGCAAGATCTGCACCGCGCAATCAGACAGCACCACGAGCATTCGGAGGATTATTTGGAGACCCATGCCTAGATCTCTTCATATTACGGACCAGGGCTTCATGAAACACTTATCCTCTTGATTGAAATGAACTTCATTATTTGCGCCAGCATCTACAGGGCTTGAAAATGGAGTAGTTTTAAGAATGACGAGTGGGTCACCAGTTTGGCCCCCAGAAAAATATGGAGCTCTAAAAATAACCAAATTTCGATCTTCATCTTGCCTATTTAGTGCCTGTTTAGTGTCTCTCTGGGTGCTTATTAGTACATCGGATTTTCCTCCAACTTCTACAACATACTCTACAACATCATGACTTCACCAGCCTCCCTGGGCTCCCCTTCGAGCTATGGGAATCAATATCGCTACATCTATCTAATGCGGACATAAAATCATACCGCCTGGCGTGCAAGCAATTCAACAATGTAGCGCATCTCCGCATCGACCAGGTTTTCTTATCAGCCAACCCACTCAACGTAGAAGTCTTTCGTGGCATTGCATCCCACGACAAGTTCTACCACCGAGTAACCGAGATCATTTGGGATGACGCGCGCTTGGCGAGAGGCCCACGGCAAACATGGGATATCTATGAAGGATATGAACTGCCCTTAGACGAGGACGAGCCTAGTAACATGAGAGAGTGGGCCGGATCGTACCCCTATTATACTCGGGAGTGTCTCATTGAGCGATATCAATTTGAGGAGGAAGATGGGTGTCCTATGTGGTTTAAGGAAGCTTGTGAAGAAAACCTCTTCCATCTTAGGAAGAGGAGGGATAGGGACGTGGACAGGCTCGACCATGTTACACGCAGAGAACAGGTTTTGGCTCAGCCTCCACTGAGGGAGGGCTGGCAACATTACCAGAACCTACTACGTCAGCAAGAAGATGTCCTCGCCGATAATAGTGATCTAGACGCACTTTTATACGGCGTCAAGCAGTTTCCTGCTCTGAAGAGAGTCACTATTACACCCGCGGCCTATGGCCATCTACTCGCCCCGCTATGCCCGACCCAATGATCCGCGCTTTCCCCAAGGGATTCAATTATTCTTTTCCGCGGGGATGGCTCTTTCCTACACTTTCAAGTACTCCTGCGGTTGTGTATGAGTGGAACGAATACCCCGGGCTCAGAGAACGCTATCGTGGCTTCCGCACTACGATGCGTGTGCTCGCCAGTGAACCAACTTCTGTTACCGAGCTGGATATGAATACCACTCATCTCCCGACTGGGATCAACTGTACGATCTTCGATGAGCCCTGCCAATTTCGCCGCAATACTGAACCCCCCTGGCTTCCGCCGTCTTGATATTGCTATGCTTGCTGACGGACAAGTCTATTTAGAGATCGACCGATGCCGGCGACCCTTCCTAAATGGACGGCTGCGCCGCGCACTCGACGAAGCTTAAGATGTGGAGGATTTCAGGTTACGTACGGCAGTAACTGTCAATACCTATGATGATGATTCTGGATACCCAACACTAGACCACCTGTTTCCACCTGTAGAAAAATCGCCGAGGCTACGCCACTTCGAACTCTCCCGCTTCCTGATCTCACAGTCTGATATCACTTCTTTTCTCGCCGCACTACCGAGATCCGTTCGCTTGGTTGAGCTCAACATGCTCAAGGTCCTTATAGCCGGTGGAAATTGGCACGGTCTGCTAGAGGATAAGCGCAAAATGATACGCGAGAAAACACTGTGGAGGGACCGAGATGTCGCTACAAGGCCGAAAGTTACGATTGGGCTTCCGCTTATGCATCGTGGGATTGGACGGGGCCAGTGCATTGAAAAGAAAGTGGTGCATGATTTCATCCATGGTGATGGTCTGCCGCAATACTGATCTCTGATAAAGCAGTTGCCTGACTTGGCCCACGACCTCCTGAATCTGATCATGATACGATTTCCATCAAAGTCAAAGGATTAAGGCAAATATGTTGCGAATATGGACTAAATAATTAGTCGTCAGGTTCATGGTATTTAGACAACGAGCGCAACCTCCCGCAACAATGTTATCTATCCCTACTATCTTCCCGCTTGCAATGCCTTGGCACTGTAACCTCAGCCTTCATATTACCTAGTGCCGTCGGGGTTCCGCCTGCATGACAATAGCCGGCCCTATGAAATTGCTTCCTCCTCTGCCAAGTGAAGCAAGCCAGCTTCTTGGCATACCCCTCGGGGCCCTACCAATCACGCACCATTGCGCTTTATCATCGCGTGATGATCACCAACAATACGAAAAATAGGTATAAGAACACCGCTTTTGCTCCTGGTTTAGAATGACTACTTATTCGCGCATTCCTTAACAATGAAGTGGCTTTTGTTGATAACCCACCTGTCGTTGGCCTTAGCTGAAGCTGACCGAAGGAAGCCCCTGGTTTCACCGGTATGTGTGCATGGTGTATCTCCACCTCATTATCAGGTAGTCTGACTTATTAGGACGACTTTCCCTCTACGATTCGGTTGAAAGACCTCCTGAAGGGCACCCAACAGCTTGAGGACTTCGCTTATGCGTATCCCGAGCGTAATCGTGTCTTTGGCAGTGCAGCACATAATGATACTGTTGACTTCCTGTATCGCGAGTTGAAGAAGACTGGCTATTATAATGTGTGGAAGCAGCCACAGGTGCACACATGGACTACTGCAAAGACCACGCTGACGCTTGATGGCGAGTCCATCGAAGCGTCCGCCATGACATACAGTCCCAGCGCTGATGTTACTGCAGAGCTGGCAGTGGTCTCGAACCTCGGATGTGAGGCATCAGACTACCCGAGTGACGTGGCTGGTGGAATTGCCTTAGTCAAGCGTGGAGAATGTACTTTCGGACAAAAGTCGGTGCTGGCTGCTGCAGCCAAGGCAGCTGCGGTACTGGTCTATAACAATGAGGCAGGGTCTGTCAGTGGAACGCTGGGTGGAGTATCCAGTGACCTTGGCCCTTATTCCGCCATTGCTGGAATCTCTGATGTCGACGGCAAGGCCCTACTCAGTGCAGCAGCAAAGGGTGCCGTGACTTTGGACCTTAATATAGACAGCAGAATCGAGAACCGCACTACATTCAATGTGATCGCAGAGACAAAAGGCGGCGATCACAACAACGTCGTCTCACTGGGGGGTCACACCGACTCTGTCGAAGCCGGCCCGGGCATCAACGATGATGGCTCTGGAATTATCAGCAACCTGGTGGTAGCAAAAGCGTTGACGCGATACTCTGTCAAGAATGCCGTGAGATTCTTCTTCTGGACTGCAGAAGAATTCGGCCTGTTGGGTAGCGAGTACTACACCTCGCACCTGAGCGCTGATGAACTGGCGAAAATCAGACTTTACCTCAACTTCGATATGATTGCCTCTCCTAACTACGCGCTCATGATCTATGATGGTGACGGAGATGCCTTCAACCAGACTGGACCAGCGGGTTCTGCCCAGATCGAGGCTTTGTTTGAGAACTACTTCAAATCCAAGAAGCTGTCATATATCCCAACTGAGTTCGATGGCCGATCCGACTACGACGGTTTCATCTCTCGTGGAATTCCCGCTGGTGGGCTTTTCACTGGTGCTGAAGGCCTCAAGACCGAAGCACAGGCAAAGCTGTTCGGAGGCCAAGCAAATGTATCATACGATGTGAATTACCATGCTGTCGGGGATGACTTCAAGAATCTCAATCACGAGGCATTCCTGATTAACTCGAAGGCTACGGCTTTCGCTGTCGCAAAATACGCCAATAGCCTTGATTCGATCCCCCGACGGAGTGCAACACCTGCCAAGCGAGTGGTCAAGAAGAGAGCACCCCGGTCGCATGCGCACACTAAGAAGTCCGGATGTTTCCATTCTCTGGTTGAAATTTAGTAGCTGTGCTCACCTATTACTGGTTATCAATGTCGATGTAAGCAAGTATCCAATTCAATCTATCTTTATCTGACCGATTACAATTGTTGAGTACCCAAGAGTAGAAATACATAGTAGGGACATACAATACGAAGTACTGGGTTTGAGGATATATTCGTCTAGTGTCAAAGTTATATGATTTATAGAACGTTCTACGGGGCCTCAGGGGAGCGAGAGACTCCTGTAATATGAAGACGTGAAGACATCAGTCGACGCTCCTTCCGACTTGACCAAAGTTGGCCTTTCTTCAACTTCACCTTAACCAAGACCCTTCATGTTAGGCTGTCCGCGGGTGCTCGTTCATCGAAGTGTAAGCTTGTAAAGAGTTCGAGCATCGATTCTTCCGAATATGGAATGGGTTACGGCTTTGGTAGAAACTTCTGGCTAATGGTTATATCTCTTAGGCTCACGGGCAGACTGTACCACAGCTGCAAGAAAGAACCGTACTTGTTTCAATCAGAAAGACAACAAAAAGGCTAGTCAAAGAATTGCAGTACGGCTGAGCTGTACTCGTGCAACCAGAATGGCGTACCTCTTCAATATGTTGAAGGACACTTGGTCTACGAGGAAAGGGATGCATCTGACAAGTACCAAGTAGCTGAGCTTATTGTTGGTACCATTTTGAGCAATCCGACCTTATTTTTGCCAACATGCGATCTCCGGATGAAGTCACGAAGCAAATGGTTCTCAACCCCCAAGATGTCTTTGAGCGCCACGTCTACGAGCCAGATCAGCTCGAGAGAAAGCACCGATCTCGCTATCAATCAAGGATATCAACAATTTGACAGAAAAGCATCAAAGTCTTGCAATCTCGTCACTGGAATTTGAAGAATGGTATTGGCTAAGCTCGGGTTAAATTTGTATGCCTTAACCTCTATCCCACCTCATCTGTGAGCGCAAATGCAATGTGTTTAGTTCATTCAGATCATAGTCCCATTATCTCAACTCTCATAATGTCGTTCTTATGTCTCTCCAAAACATTCTTCCACAGTTCACTTCCAAATAGCAATTTAGAAAATACGTAACTGCCCAATACCATCGATTACGAACCTAGTCGCGCAGACCTCCGATCAGATCTAGAATCGCCCGTGCCACCTCCTCCGGACTTTCCCGGGGCGTCCAATGCCCAACTCCATCCACAAGCCGGAAGATACGTAAGTCAGTGCATGACACCCTGTTCTTCATCTTCTCGATAGCACCAGGCTCCTGATAATTTCCCCAGTCCAGCTTGCCCGAGACATAAGCACAAGGGGACTCGAGCTTCTTCCCAGCAAAGACATCAAAGTCCTTCGTATACCGGCCCCCAGCAGCGGTGCGAACACGATACCAATTTAGCCCGCCATAGAAGCCTGTGCGACCATATTCGCCCGCATAAACGGCGAGCTCCTCGTCCGGCAGCCACGAGTGCGAGGCCAGACCGTCAGGCGACTCATTTGCCATATCGCGCGCCACCGTTGCAGGCATAGTCTCATTTAACGGCATGATATAATACCCAGGTAGCTTAATCAAATCGGCCGCAGACCACTTCCCCAGTGGATGCGGCTGGTTCCCCGGCCATGAACCACTCTTCAGATAGAAGTATCCCCGCAAGAAGCGGTGCATGTCATCGGGCCCTAGATCCGACATTTCGGGCCCAGCCTGCTTAGTCGCGTAATACCACTTATAGTGCTTACGGCCGAGATCCGCAAGTGTCTTATGAATCCCCGCAGCAGCGGCCGACCCCTCGGCACCACCTGCCCCACCTGCTGCCGCCACATCAGACCCAGCCGGGGCATCCGCATTCGCCGTATTAAATGGTAAATCTGGGGCCCCGTTAAACGGATGACTCATGAGCGCAACACTCTGGAAGAAATCCGGCCGCATTAGAGCGCACATGGCTGCTGATACAGCGCCGCAGTCGTGGCCGGCGACGCATCGCACGGAGCGGTAGCCTAGCGCATGCACAAGGAGTACAATATCCCGCACCAGGCTGGATAGCGAGAAGGTTCCCAAATCGACGTCCTCGTAGCTGCGCGTGTCCCAGCCTGTGGTGCGGCCGAAGCCGCGCTGGTCTGGGGCTACGACGTGGAAGCCTGCTGCTGCTAATTTGGGGAGCACCCGGCGCCATGAGTAGGCGATTTCTGGGAAGCCGTGGAGGAGAACTATCAATGGCTTGTTGTTTTCTGGGGTGTAGCCGGCTTCTAGGATGTGGATGTTTAGATCGGTGGTTTGGATGTGGCGACTTGTTAAGCCTGCGGGGAGGGGGAGGGGTTGGAGGGCCATTGTTGGTATTGGGATCTTGATGCAATATGTGGGATATATGGGGAAATAGGGATCGATCCCAACATATAACAACATAACATACCGAGGTTGCCTTTTTGGGTAGAACATATACCCGTGGACGGTTGCGTTAATTAACGCGTTCTATATCACCCCCTAACCACTCATTTCTATTCATTTTAGTCCAATTTTTTTTCTATAATAAATTTACGAGTCCAAACCTATCCTGTAATAAGATAATACAAAGACCTAGTGACCTAGAATGGCATAAGGGTGGTTTAAAAGGCACGGGTTATGGATTAGATATTAGGCTTTATATTCACCCGTTAACTAGGTCTCTTAAGCAGCAGATTCTAAAGGTCATGATATCCTAATAATAGATATAGGTCATAATAATAAGGACTTGGCAACATTCAGTACTGATGCAATTAATTAAGGTATTATTGATAGCGTAATACTATCTGCATCCTTACTCTAGGTTGGTTATGTAGAGTGAGAGGGTAATACACAAAGTATAAGGCTGACATAAGGAATGCATAAAAAGTCCTCGATTCAAGGCGGTAAACTAAGTTGTTGTGCCTGACCCAAAGTCATGACGCAAGTTCCTCTTGATCTCGGATCTGCCTGGATCGGCTTCGATCAGTTTTGATTTTTTTTTTTGAACCTGCCTTTTCCCTTTTTTTCTGCTCTCCTTACCCGGCG